GACTCGAGGCTCGCAATCAACGAACACCTGCAAAAATGGTCCACCACCCTGGGCGACGATACAAAATACACCGCAACCTCTCACTCCATGAACTGCGCGCTGCACCTGTCCCCACTCCGGCTGGAGTCGGTTTGTGATTAAGTTTCAAGAAAAACTTAGATGCTGAAGCTCTTGCCACAAACCTCCTCCTCAAAGAAACGGAAATGACGATAATTCAATGCGAATCGGGGATCCAATCGTCAGTGTGAATGTCAATGACGACTCCATCAAACTGCCCACAAGAACGAACTATGACAACCTTACTTCACGCACACAAATCACTACGCAATCCCCACGCCATACATTCTCCGCTGGTGATCCGTGCGCAACTGTAGCACTGAAACAAAGGCTGGTGAACACCACCTTCGACTCGTCCGCTTTCGTGACAGAAGAGTCGTTGAAGTGAAACCACTGCCTCGAAGACATGAGCATTACTCACACATCTGATTCTATGTCGCTTCTCTGACTCCCAGCTGCAGCAAACCGCAGACGACCCACCTCCCACACTTCAATGCGTGCGGTCGCGTGGAACTGCTTAGTGATTGGACTGGTACAGTGCGGACGCGGCCGCAAGAAACTCTTGCAAGAAACCCAGCCCTGAAACCCCGCGCACGAGATGCTCACGGGGGGGGAACCTGGAGCACCCTGAACGCAGCAGCTCCCCCAACGGCTGCGGGAAGTCGCCGCGCAGCGCGCGCAGCGAAGACGCCCAGGATACCCTGACGACAAGCACATGCTTTCTTGATGCGCGCCTCCACTGTATGCCCGATGTTGCCAATTCCGTATACCTCACTGCATGCCGCGCTGTGCCATCGGGGACAAGGAGGAGGAGGAGGAGGAGGAGGAGGAGGAGGAGGAGGAGGAGGAGGAGGAGGAGGGGGAGGAGGAGGAGGAGGAGGAGGAGGAGGAGGAGGAGGAGGAGGAGGAGGAGGAGGAGGAGGGAGGAGGAGGAGGGAGGAGGGAGGAGGAGAACGAACCTGCAGACGTTCAAAGAGCAGCGGGCTCTGCCTGTCGGGCCCTTCGCCGACACGACCATACGCAGTGTAGTGCCTCGGCGGCCGCTGCCAGGGCCCCAACGATCATCGCGGACCCACTCCTCCTCCTCCTCCTCCTCTCCTCCTCCTCCTCCTCCTCCTCCTCGTCCTCCTCCTCCTCCTCCTTCTCATCCACAAACTCTATCACCTTGAACTCCTAGACTGCACACAGATAAGTGTGTAGCTGCTCTGCCATGTTGCTCAACACCCTGCCCCTGGACACATCACACACTACACTCCTCTGCCTCTTCCAATTCAACCTTCGCTGCACATTATTCAGGAGAACTCCCACCACTCAATGAGACAAGCAACGGCACCCGTAGCGAAGAGTGCCGGAATGGTTCACCACGGCGTACCTTCAACCGCTCCACTGGTAGCACGATGGAAATCAACAACGGTCAAAGACATAGGAACTCACGGCTGGGTGATCCAGACGATCCAGTTCCAGACCGACTACTCAGAGAGAAGTCTTGCTGAATCGAGACCCAGGGCAGATTTCGATGAATTGTGGACGACTGATGAAGCAACTGCGAGCCACACAACAGAGAGTTCCGCTGGGCCCTTGGGGTCACCAGACTGTCAGTCTCCCTGCTGGCCTAATTACTGTCGTGCTGGTGTTTCTTGTCGTCTTCGTTCTTATCGCCCTGTCGATCGTCTCTTGTCTCTTGTCTCTCCAGTCCTGTCACCTTTGTGCTGCCTGCCAGGGGACCCTCGGCGCCCCACAAACATTATCGGGGGGGCCCCGGGGTAGCTCAGCTGAAGCGCTTGGGGACGCCACCAGAAGGCTAAGAGAGCCGCATACGGCACCAGGAGCGCCCGAAGAGGGCCAAAAGGGAGGGACAAGAGCCCATGACGGCCCCACTTCGGTCCAACATGGCACCAATGATCCACCAAGAGGGGGACAAATACGTGTCGACACGGTAACACATCTCGGAATCAGATACGGGATCCTACTACGTCTTGCGGAACAAAAGTACCAACATGATGCGCGACAACCCCTCGGACAAGGTGCACAACCCCTCCAACATGGACACAACAAGTGCGACACCGTGCAGTAGCGGCCGGCGCTCGGGCGGGAACTCTTTTCCGAGAATGTGCTCAACGCACGAGCGGCAGCACCAAATCCAGTCAGGCACGAGGCCGGCGCCCAAATGAGAGCACCATCCCCAATCAGGAATATGCTTAAAGCTCAAGCGAGCAGGGCCAAAAGACTCACGGGAGGGCACTGGAGCGTCGTGTGGAGTGAGTCTTGGCCAGAACGCTGACAACGCGAAGTGCACCAGAGGCAAGCTGGCAAGATCATGAGGCTCACGGGAGGGGCACAGGAGGGACGCTGGAAGGATACTGGCCCATAGCCGAGAGGCCTCTGAACAAGCCCAACCAATGAAACAAAAAAACAACAAACAAAACAAAACAAAAACAATAGGAGTAGGACCCCTGATCATATTCACGGAAAACGCTCATGGAAGTAGGAAGCATGGTAACGATTAGTCGATGATTACGATGGTGACGTACACGACAACGACCTGACAACCACCTGGACAACCCCAGAAATTCTGGACAACCCCCTCATGGTAAACCATCCACCGATACTTTCCCATACAACAGATCATCGCATTTTCTGATCGTCGCCTGCTTTCCATTGAAAACTTGGACGTCTGCCACACGAAGCAGCAACCAACATCGCCCAAGATGAACCCCAGAGGCTCCAGGTCGACCCTATGATGCCCCCAAGAGTCCTAAAGATGGCCACAAGGTTCCCCTCAAGTGGCTCTCACATTGCCAAGAGACATGGGGAACTGCAAGGTGTCTTAGGTCTATATAAATTACATAGATATAAATATGTATATATCTAGGTATATATGTCTATGATATATGTATATATATATATATATATGCCTATAGATATCTGTATCCCAGGGGGCTCCGCCAGAAGGCTCGACAGCAGGTGACAAGCCCTTAAATCCGCCTGGCTGATTAGCGCTGACGACGCCAAATCATAATTCCCATACACTTTCCTAATCCAGAATGCATACCCGTTTCTGCACACTGCACTCTGGCCACCTACGAGCCGATGATGTAAGTCTCTCTGTAATCACATAGAAACACACGGCATATAATCTCAAGGACAGGACAACTTCTCACTCCAATATGCGTATTGGGTGAAAATGGGCAGCTCGTCCAAGAAGAACAATCAGCCCAAGACAACTCACGGACTGGCCCTCTGTCCAGCAATGTCGGAAGAAGACGGTCGTTCTCAAACGAGCATGGAATGAACCGCCGAGGGAGTACAATCTGTACTGGAACTGCTTCTCGTCCGACGGGCCGAGCACCCACGGAGTCAAATCCTGAGGAACGAACCATATGAACACGCAAACATCGCCGAGTCGTGCCAACATTTGCAGAACATGACGGATGTCCGAGACCCACGCCCAACCTCATGACCCAAACTGCCGCGTGGCATTCGACCGTTCAACAGACCGTGGCGGCGCAGTCGTGCATACCCCAAACCATGGACGCGACAGGACCATCTGAACTTTAGCCAGTGGTTCTCCTTCGAGAAAACGAACGACGTGCCCCGCGCGTGCCGTGCCGTGTCCCGCCTGGGAACCGCGGCGCGCTCGAAGTCTGGAATGCGGAGCACGTGCCGCCCGCGTGAAGTGCCATCTCTCCTTCGAGAAAACGATCGACGTGGCCCGCGCGTGCACTGCCGTGTCACGCCCGGGAACCGCGCCGCGACCGAAGTCTGGACTGCGGAGCACGTGTCGCCCGCGTGCCGTGCCGTTAGGGGCACAAGAAGTGGCATAAACATACAAAAAACTCGGGGTCCGCGCGGAATTCCCCGATCGGCGCAGGGGCCCCCTCCCTGGCGCGCGGAGCGCGCCAGGGGCGGCGCCGGAGGCGCCGCCGGGGGGCCCCAGCGCCGATCCGAGAAATCCGCGCGGACCTCCGAGTTTTTATGTTCATGCCACTTCTTGCTCCCCTTAACGGCACGGCACGCGGGCGGCACGTGCTCCGCAGTCCAGACTTCGGGCGCGGCGCGGTGTCTGGGCGGGACGCGGCAGGGCACGCGCGGGGCGTGCTGTGTGCCGTGCCCGCGCGCCCCGCCGCGCTCGCGCGCCGGCGCCCGCGATGGCCAACCCGCGGGCGCCGCACCCGCGCCGTGCTCGCGAGGGCACGAGGCTGCGGGGGCCGCGGGCCGCCCTCGGCGTGCCGCGCGGTGCCGCGGCAGGCCGCGCAGGGGCCCACGGCGCGGGGCAGAGGCCCGCGTGCCGGCCCTGTGCGCGCGCGTCGTGCCTCTGCCCGCGTGCCGCGCGCGCGGGGAGGAGGAGGAGGAGGAGGAGGAGGAGGAGGAGGAGGAGGAGGAGGAGGAGGAGGAGGAGGAGGAGGAGGAGGAAGAGGAGGAGGATAATGGACCAATCAGCGGCCTAAAAGGCGTGTGCCGCCCAGAGGGGTGCTGCGTCCGCGTGCCGCGTGTCGTGCCCTGCCCACGCTGAAGGAGGCAAGGGTGGTGCCGCCCGCGTGCCAGGCGGTGCCCGCGGTCTAGAAACGAGAAGCACGTGTCGGCGGCGCGCCGTGCCTGTGTCGGGTCGGGCGAAAAGGGGGAATAGCAAAGGGAGGGTTTGAGAATCAGCTCACGTAGGTAATTTTCCCGGCGCCTCCCAGCGCCAGAGGCGGCTATGTATCGAGGAATGGGCCCCTCGGTGGGGCCGAAACCAGCTGCATGCATCAGATTTCGTAACCCCCCCTTTCCAAATCCCCCCCTTTCGTCCGGCCCGACTGTGCCTGGTGCCTGTCGGGTCCCGTGTCGTGCCCGCGTGGCGCGTCGTGTCCGCGTGCCTTGCCGTGCCAACGCAGTGCGGTCGACACACGGTGTGTCTTTTCATTCAGCGTTGCCGTTTCCGGTGTAACAGTTTGAGCACCATCTGTCATGCGATGCGTAGTGCTTCTCTCTTTGCGACTTCTTCCGAGTGAGCCAATGCTCTGCCCCGTCTCCCATTCCCATTCCATTCTCTCCGATCGTCTCCCCATACATGAACACCACACCAGAAGCATTACCAAGTAACATGCACTGGAGCGAAGCGGAAAGAAAACGTGGAGTCCAGATCCAACGGCGCGTCCACGAAAGTGTCCACCTAATGTAATACTACAGTATCGCATGCGCGCGATCTTTAGAAACACAGCATGATCACACTATGTAGCGCATGCGAGACGTTGCGCAACGCAGAGCGCCTGCAACGGATCCAATTACCACTCGTCACTGGTAACTCAAAACGTGCGAATGGGTCCGGCAACGCAACAGCCGGAAGCGTGAACTCGGTCCTCGCGGACAAAAACTGTCACCGTGCTCTCGGACGTTGGAGCGTGTAAGCATGCTAGCTTCTAGGGGCGACGGATTCCAGGGACAACACCCCTCGACGAGTGAGTCCGTGAAACAAAAAATCCCCCCCAAACATGTTGTTCCCTATAGCGTTCTTCACGGCCAAAGAGTGGTCCCAGATTGCCCGAAGACGGATGCAATGTGCCGACAGACTGGCCAGAGATAGTCCGAAGAGCTTCCAGAGGCCCACCATGTCCCCGAGAGGCACCAAGAAGAGACCAAGAAGCGTCCAAAGAGCCTTCCAGCAACGCTCCCGTAAGTTCCCACCTGCGTGCAAAGCGCTTCGGCTTAAGATGACAACGAAAAAACCTCAGATCGCCCCAAAACGGCTCCAAAAGGTCCCAAGAAGCACCCGAGATGGCCCAATTCAGCCCCGGGAGAGCCCCAAGACGGCGCGAGAGACCCAAAAGCCGCCCCAAGAGGGCTCCAGGGCGGCTCCAAAACCGCAGCCCAAGATTCACCCTGACCCAAAATTGTAACATAGGAGAGAGCGTGATCCACCGCGGCTGTACTATGGAAAATTCCCCCCTCTTCCTCCAGAGCCCGGGGGCCCCCCCCCCTCCGAAAATCCCCCCCCCCCCCCTGCTGGACCCCCCCCCTTCCACCAGGCAAACCCCCCCCCCTCCGCCCCCCCCCTCGAAAACCGGGGGGGGTCACTACTGGTTCGACCCCCTCCCCCCCCCCTCGAAAACCGGGGGGGGTCACTACCGGTTCGAACCCCCCCCCCCCGCGCGCACCGCCAGCAAACAACTCTAGGTCCCTACCACCGTCTGCACCACATCCCCCACTGCATGCTGTCCCCAGCACCACTGTCCTCACCACCACTGTCCCCACTGTTCCCACCACCGTCACCACTGTCCTCACCAACGCCGCCACCACTGTTGCACTGTCCCCACTGTCCCCACCACTGTTCCCACCACGGTTCCACTTTCCCCACTTTCTCCACGGCCCCAACCACTGTCCCACTGTCCCCACTGTCCCACTGTCCCCGCCGCTGTCCCACTGAGCTGTCCCACTTTTCCCACCACTGTCCACACTGTCCCCACCACTGTCCCTACTGTACCTCTGTCCCATTATCCCACCGCCGTCCTCGCCACCGCCGTCACCACTGTCGCCACCACCACTGCAACCTCCACTGTCTCACTGTTTCCACCACATTCCCACTGTCCCCACACCACTGTCCCCACCACCACCGTCCCCACCACTGTCCCACCGTCCCCACTGTCCCCACCATTGTCCTCGCTGTCCCCACCAGTGCCCCCACCAGTGTCTCAATGTCCCCACTCTCCCCGCCATTGTCCCACCAGGGTCCCACTCTCCCCACTTTCCCCACGGTCCCCACCACTGTCCTACTGTCCCCACTGTTCCCACCACTGTCCCACTGTCCCCGCCGCTGTCCCAGTATGCTGTCCCACCGTCCCCACTGTCCCCATTACGTCCCACTGTCCCCACTGTCCCCACCACTTTCCCCACTGTACTACTGTCCCACCACTGTCCTCACCAACGACTTCACCAATCCCCACGACTACCGTCCCCACCACTGTCCCACTGTGTCTCCGCCCCTTACCACTGTCCCCACCACCACCGTCCTCACCACTGTCCCCACCACCACTGTCCCCACCACCACCGGTCACTGTCCCAACATCCCCACCATTTTCTGTCCCGAGGAGCGGGCATCGTTTGCCGGCGGCGATGGGAATGGGGGGTTCGAACCGGTAGTGAGACCCCCCCGGTTTTCGAGGGGGGGGGGGTGTTCGAACTGGTAGTGACCCCCCCCCGTTTTCGAGCGCGGGGGGGTGTTCGAACCGGTAGTGAACCCCCCCTGTTTTCGAGGGGGGGGGGACGGGTTAGGAACCCCCAGTGACGCCCCCAGGTTGTCCGCCAACAGCGGTAGAACACGCTTTTTAACAGAGAGACTCTGTAGAGGAGCTCACCAGAACCATCCAGAATCATCGCGCCCAAGACGGCCAGAAAATACTCCCAAGAGAGCCCCCAAAGGCACCGACTAACACCGTAATAAGCATCAAAGCGCTCCAAAGTGGCAGCGCACGAAACATGCAATAGTGCGAGCACGCCGCGCTAAAGCATCGCAATGGTGTAGTCTTGGGAAGCGCTTGGTAGAATCGTCCTGAAGAGCTCGGTAAAACCACCACGCCTGGATTGCGATGATACGTTGGCACAATGACGGGGCGTACCTCGGACAAATGGATGAAATTCACTTTCTCAAACGCCAGAAGAAGGTCACCGTGTTCCCCATGACGCCATGCAACTGCCCCAGGGACCCGAGACACTTTCAGGGAGTGCGAAGGGATGGCCCAGCGTAGTCCAACAGACCGACTTGAAGAAAATGGCACATCCCTAGCATACCCTCGCAACCCTTCTGCTGCATTGCTCCTCTCAACCTTTGCCCTCTACCTTGCCTCCCTTCCTTTCTGGGGCCTCCCGTCTGCAACACAGAACAGGCACCATCACTACATGCAGGATGGCAGAGGAGAGCTGCAAGACGCCGCCTTCTCCAATGGACCATATGCCTGATCGGAGCCAAACCTCGCCGGTACGCACGGCCGCTCGATGCGCTGAAAACCGCTGATTGAAGAGGCCGTGGGACACACACACACACACACACACACACACATAAATAGACACAAATAACCAGATTCCCCATATTTTCTGTGTTTTTGTCTTCCTCCCCACTTCCCATGTTTTTCCACATTTTCCGGGGAATCGACGATTAGTCGTGTCTGTGTTTTTTGTTTCCCCCTCCTGACTGCTGCTGAACATATACAACAACTGATTGAGAGGCCTCGGCAAATACCGTCGTGCCGCAAATATGTGGTCGGGCTCGGGGTCATCTCTTACTTGACCTGCATCTGCCTTGCGTCTCCTGTTCCTCATCCTCATCGGGTCACTTCCCTATGCCCCTCGTCCTCGTCCTCATTGTCCTCACCTGTCCCGTGCTCCACCTTCCTCTCATCATCCTCGTTCCCCTCCTATGTTTCACCCTCCTATTCCCCCCACACTCTTCTTCCCGCCCTCCCACATGCTACTCCCCCCTCTCCCTCGCCAACCTTAGCTGTCATCACCCGCCACTCCCGCGGGTGCTTTCACACACAGGGCTTCAACGCCTCCCCTTTCACTGGCGCCTTTCCGCTCGGTAATACATCGACCGTTCCAGATGGCGCTCCGGCTCGTGCGGGCGAGTCCAGCGGCCCCGGACATGGGGGGTGGCAGGGTACAGACTCAAAGAGCACGAGGGGGCCACGAATCCTTGGAGATGCCATCATGTCTATACGCACACTACCACAGTCGGTGTGCTACCATCAACCCGTAGAAGAAGGACACACGATAAGGATGCAAGGGCCTTGGAAGGCCATGCCGACACTTTGCGAGCGGGGCGCGGCCCTCGACAGCGGCCGAGGATGGGCCGAATGGGAAGGATGCAAGGGTAACCTTGGAACGCCGTCCATCCTTAGCATGCGGGTTGACTGCATCTGTACGCACACCCCTGCACCTGCCATCGCTCGGACGTCCACTCTCCCTGTGCATTTGTCGGTTTAGTGCGTGCTTGTTCTCTCGGGAATGGACAGACCCCCCTTCAGTAAAACGTGGTTTAGTGAAAACGACCTGAGGCCCAAACCTGGCGGGCGTAAGCCTGGAAACAAACAGCCACGGCGCCCTCTGGACAACCGAAAATGGACAATGCACTAATCGACGGGTCACTGTTGGGGGTTCTGTCCACCCCCGATTCTCTTCGCAAGATGACCCAAGATGCTCCGCGATGGTCCTCGCCGAGGCAAGCATGCGCACGTCCGAGCGATGCCGATCCTGCAGCCCCCGTGCAGCCACAGGCAGCGCCACGGCACGCGCGAAGGGGGGGCTCTGGCACGCAAGGCGGAGGAACAAACACACAGTCTGTGGGAAAAAACACACAGTCTGTGTGTGTGTTGTGTGTGTGTGTGTTTTTTGATTGTGTGTTTTTTGCCCCACAGACTGTGTGTGTTGTTGTTGTTGTTGCTGTTGCTGTTGCTGTTGCTGTTGTTGTTGTTGTGGTTGTTTGTGTGTGTGTGTGTTTTGGGGTGTTTTTTTTTGTGTGTGTGTGTGTATGTGTGTTTGTGTGTGTGCATTTTTGTGTGTGTGTGTTTTGTGTTTTGTGTGTGTATTTTTCCCACAGGCGGAGGAAACAACGAGCGAGGCCATCGGCTCGCCATCGCTCGGGCGCCCATCCCCCGTGCCTTTTGGTCGGCTTCGCGCGCTGACGTTTTTCTGGGCGGTGGTCCACGATGCTCCAAAAACACTGTGGGAAAAAAACACACGTGGGAAAAAAACACACGTGGGAAAAAAAACACACACACACACAAAACCCACGTGGGAACAAAAAAAACAAGGGGAAACACACACACACACACGCACACACACACACACAAAACACGATTCTTCTCAGCACGTGTGTTTTTTTCCCACGGATGGTCCCCGCCGAGAAAACAATGCACACGCCCGAGCGATGCCACGTCAGCTCTCAGGACATCGAATGACACAGGCCAATTCAGACCCGGGTCCGTCAGGCTCTGCAACATTTCTGCAACATCCTGCAGGATCCTGCACCCTAACCTGGTTCAATGCACCCCTGGCTCTGATCTGGCGCTATGGCTGACCCACTTTTGCATTGACTCCTGTCCCTTGAGCCCCGACCTCTTGAGGTGGATGATGAGGCACTCCGGCGCAGTCCACAAGTCCAGCTTCTTCAGCGACCTTGCGGAAACGCCATCTTCATCCGTGCTCGTACCCCCTATACTGTACCTCCTCGCTGCAATCACGCTGCGAGGAGCGTCAGTGACACGACAAAGAGAGACATGTAGCGGTACAGCAACACGCCAAGGAGACCCACAACAAATAGAGACATGTAGCAGTACAGCAACACGCCAAGGAGACCTCAAGAAGACCCAATATAGCCTCAAGGTGACCCAAGAAGCCTCCAAGACGTCCCCAGAGTGCTCGAAGATGACATCAAGAGGGCCTCAGAAGGCCAAAATCGCAACAATTCCGGCGGAACGCGCACATTGTCAACATATCCTCACTTTTGGCGGCACCACCGTCCAAAGCGGCTCAAGAGGCCCCCAAGATCGCTCCAAGACGGCCCAAAGAGGGCCCCATAGACGGCCCAAGAGAGCCCCAAACTGCCCCAGAAGGCCCCGAGAGAGAGCCTCGAAGAGGGGCCCAAGAGGACTCCCGAGACCGCCAGCAGGCGCCCAACAGACCCCCATTTAAGAGACTCTAAGAAGCGTCCCAAGGGGCCCAAAGGATGCCGCAATAGGCCCCTCAAACGCTCGCCATCGCTCGGACGTTCATTTTTTATTTTTTTTGTCGGTTTCGTGCGTGTTTGTTTCGCCAAATGGTCAAGGATGCTCCTCGATGGCCCTCGCCGAAGGAAAAATGCACACGTCCGAGCGATGCCAAGAACGGCCCTCGAAATGCAGTAAGCTTCACCCAGGAACTCCGTTTCTCCTCTGGAGGTCGGCGGAACGGAGCAAGCCTCGTAAGTACAGAGATGTAGCGGTACAGCAATTCAAATTTGCAATGGTTGGCGCCTCGACCACGTGTTGCGGACTGCCTGACATACGCGCAGAGCACAGGCCCTTCATCGAAATCCATATGAACCTGATGGATCGATTCAGGGTGGGGCAAACGGGGGGTTCAGACTTAGGATGCGTGCAACACTGGCATCTCTTCACGCCATGGAGGGGTCAGTCATCAATTAATGACAAGCTGATCTACATCTATGTACGCGGGCTTGTGCACACATCTTGGTGCTTAGCTCTCGAATGGAGTATTGGTCACCGCGCTTGTTCTCTCAAACCAGCCTTCGGCGTCCGATGTGGCCCTCATCGCTCCCGGCAAAATAGTTGCAGAAATAGAAGCGGCTCCCTCCGATGGTTGTAATCTGTTCTTGCCGAATCGCATATCATGGATTTACTCACTGACTTGGCATGCGTTTAGTCCAAATACATGAACGAGACTCGCGGATGAACCTGTTCCCTCTATTCAGCTTGAAGGTGTCGAATCGATCGACGCATGGACTTCCACATGGCTCCCTGCAACAAACAACAACCTTCGTCAAAGCGCCGAGCAAGGCAACACATGCGTTCCGCACAAGGCTCAGCGTAGGGCTTGAGCGAATTCCTTTTCTGGTACACGCACACTTGAGAAACAACCATCGGAACCATAATTCCGAACCACACGAAGCGCCTCGGTCGACACGGGAATCCCTGGATAATCTCTTGGCCAAGGCGCAGCGCCGTTTGGGACCCTCTAGGGGCACAGGTTCATCCCAAAACATCTGAACATGTTAGCAATACTCCGAAACGTGGTGCCGCCCCGTGTCAGCCTCTCGACGTTGCCGGTCTTCTCGCACCTCACTCGATCCTCCACCGACGGACGCAGGCGCCGATCCCGTGGTTACCGACTCGGCAGGAGTAACAAACTGACTGTGATGCTCTGGTGGTGCACACATGTGGATTCAGAAATGAACACCATGCCTCCACAAGCACTTGTACGTGTGGGAATGGGTGCTACTTGCAAATGGCAATACATGTTTGTGCATTGTTGGTACCACGCCAGCACTTACACCATCGCGCTTGCACCGCGTCTGCATCTGTTAAACCACTTGTAGTTTGTCTACACGCATCTCCCCCTGCGAAGCAGGTGGTGAAAGCACCGCCATACGGATCCCAAGATCTCCCTCCTCATAAGAACAAGCGCTGTGCGTTCTGCCAGAGCAACGTCGGCTGCACGTAAGAGCGACCCAAGGCTAAAGTGACCTCCGGTGCGTGACTTTCGGGGCCTGCGGGGAGGCCGAACCGGAGCGCGCAAGCCGGTGCTATCATGTCACGTTCAGCCACCTGGCGACCCCACTGTGCCTCCACCGAATTAAGGGCGAAGAACGCTATCAAGTAAACTTTCCAGCCGCCCAGGGGCAGGTGTCCCCGACGACGACAAAGTTTATCTTATGCCGTTCTTGGCTCGCTGACCAAAGGTCACAGCGGCCAAAGGTCACTCTTACGTGTGGCCGACAGCGGCAAGGGGGCATGCGAGAGCGTCCTCTGCTCAGCTGCTCGGCGGCCCGGGGGGGGCCCCCCGCGGGAGGGCACACACGCCGGCCCGGGCCGGCCACAGCTCCAGCGGGGCCTAGACCGGGGGAGGTTGGCACTGCGGCCGCGTATGGGGTCGGGATGGCCCGGAGAGACGCCCGCGTGACCCAAGACAGGAGATGTAGCTTGTGTTTCTCTCCAGACAGCTGCCAGCTGGCCACCTGATGGGAAGGAGGACTCCACGACAACTAAACGGACCGAAGATACCGAACACATTCGGCCTGCCCAACGCCCACGTGGCCCAAGATGCAAAGCAGCTCGAGGCCCCCAAGGAGCTCCCAAGACAGCCCGACGGTCCCCAAGCGACCCCTCCGAGAGCTAACCAAGAGGTGCCCGTGGGGCCGCCATAAACTGCCCCCCTGGATGCCCGCACCGAGTCAGAGCACGAAGACTGGGGCTTCCAGGACAGCCCGAGAGGCCGCTGCTACTGTTCGTTCGTCGCCGCCTGCCACAACCTGCTGTTACTGCCTGTCACTGCTGATGCCGTTGCCGCGTGCAAGCTTCTATTTCACTGTGCTGATAATGCCGCTTTCTTCGAGACACAAAGGGCCCACTGTGCCATCACGGTGAGGAAGCACAAGTCGAGCTGCAGTGGACCCCATGCATTTGAGTCAATGCACTCATAGTTCTACAGACCCCTTCTCTCTCGCGCGGTCGGCACTCGGCAACAATGAACATGTTCGAGCCTCTGAATCAATGGCAATGGAGTTGGGAAACGCATAGAGAACAAATGAAAAGAAGAGGTGGTCCTCCTCTGCTAGTTCCTCCCGTCGAGTAAACGCCTTGCAAACAGTCACGATGAGAAGAGAGAGAGAGATAGAGAGACAGAAAGAGAGAGCGAGCGGCAGAGAGAAACGCACCTTGTAGGCAACTAGTTGCTGCCATTGCAACGGTGCACGACCTCAGATACGCCTGGACTGGTGCAGGATGTGCTCCAGTTCCCGATCGCCCTTCGGCCAAGACAAGAAAGGAGGAAAATGGATTCGGAGGAAGGACTGCGGTGACAGGGAGAAGTCGGGAGCGGCCAAGAGGGGGGTGTCCAAGAGGGGGGGGTGCAAAAATCATGACCGGCGGCATGTGCGCGGCCCAGCGGGGGGGCCAGGGACGCAATGAAACAAGAGGAGGCGCCCTGGAATCTGGGGAGATAGCATGGCCCCCGCCCTGATATCCCCCCCCCCTGGTCAGCACCCCCTCTCTTTGCCGCCCCCGAGACAAGGGAGGGAACAGCAGCACGAGACGAGCGCGGAGGAAACGATCTCCGGCTGGCGCGATCGCCCCGCGAATGGTATGGCCGGTGGCGCCGCTGCTGCGAGTCTCTGCCCGGGTGCGATGCCCCCTCGCCTCCACGGCGGTCGGGGGGACAGGGCGTGGCGAGGCGCGCTCGGCCTCGCATCGCGGGCAGGCCTACACCCTGCGAAATGCTCAAGGAATCATGGGTTGAGAAACTCATGGTCTCTGAAATCTAATAAATTGGCCTGGCGAAAGACCCGACCATATGCAGCTGTGAGTACCGTTATTGCGAACATCTTCTTCGGTGGCGAGCCCTACGGGGCCACGAACCGTGTGATGGGGGGTGCCGACATGTGTGGCAGGGTACACGATACGAACGGAAGACGAAACGGAAAACGATCGGCCTGAGTATGAAATCTTGAGCGCGGGTGAGTCTGAACGCGAGTAAGTATGATAATGAATGAGTCTGCGTGCGATTGATTCTATTTGCATGACTGCGAGCATGGATCCGCCTAGTGTAAATGTCTCCGAGTGTGAACTCGCGACACTGAATGTAGCCTCCTCAAAGAGCTTCCCTGGGAACCCCGACGGCTGCGCCCACGCGCCGCGACGCCCATGTCGGCACGCCCCACCGAGGATCGCGCCCGCTTCATCTCCTCATGTTCCTTCCTCTTTGCCCGCGCACTCCAAAGTCCAAGGCTGCGGGCGCAGCGCAACGCGGAGCCCTCGCGACGCGCGCAAGTCGCCACGAAGGGGTCACAGTGACGCGCGCGGTTCGTCCGCTGTGCAGGGCAGACAGTGCTTGCTGGCTAACTGATAGCGCGCCTGGCTCTGGCCGCTGGAAAAGCGGCGAAGGGCGGGCGAGGCGCTGGGCAGAGCGCAGCGTGGAGTTTGCGCGACGCGCGCTGATCGCCGCGAGAGGGTCCCAGCGACGCGCGCGAGTCGTGGACGTGGAGCTCCTTATGGGGCCACGAAACGCGTGAGGGGTGTACCGAAATTGGTGCGGTGGGCGCATGCGAACGCAGCCACTGGGGCCTTCGGTGGAGCTCCCTATGGGGCGACGAAACGTATGAGGCGTGTGCTGAAATGGGTGCGGCGCCGCCATGCCAACGCAGCCACTGGGGCCTTCGGTGGAGCTCCCTATGGGGGCCACGAAACGTGTGAGGGGTGTGCCGAAAAGGGTGCGGCGCCGCCATGCCAAAACAGCCACTGGGAGCTTCGGTGGAGCCCCCATATGGGGCCACGAAACGTGTGAGGAGTGTGCTGAAGTGGGTGCGGCGCCGCCATGCCAACGCAGCCACTGGGGCCTTCGGTGGAGCTCCCTATGGGGCCACGAAACGTGTGAGTGGTGTGCCGAAATGGGTGCGGCGCCGCCATGCCAACGCAGCCACTGGGGCTTTCGGTGGAGCTCCCTATGGGGCCACGAAGCGTGCGAGGGGTGTGCCGAAATGGGTGCGGCGCCGCCATGCCAACGCAGCCACTGGGGCCTTCGGTGGAGCTCCCTATAAGGCCACGAAACGTGTGAGTGGTGTGCCGAATGGGTGCGGCGCCGCCATGCCAAAACAGCCACTGGGGCCTTCGGTGGACCTCCCTATGGGGCCACGAAACGTGTGAGGGGTGTGCCGAAATGGGTGCGGCGCCGCCATGCCAACGCAGCCACTGGGGCCTTCGTGTCCCTATGGACGAAACGTGTGAGGGGTGTGCCGGGGTGCGGCGCCGCCATGCCAACGCAGCCACTGCGGTGGAGCTCCCTATGGGGCCACGTAGCGTGCGAGGGGTGTGCCGAAATGGGTGCGGCGCCGCCATGCCAACGCAGCCACTGGGCATTCGGTGGAGCTCCCTATGGGGCCACGAAGCGTGCGAGGGATGTGCCGAAAAGGGTGCGGCGCCGCCATGCCAACGCAGCCACAGGGGCCTTCGGTGGAGCCCCCATATGGGGCCACGAAACGTGTAAGGGGTGTGCCGAAATGGGTGCGGCGCCGCCATGCGAACGCAGCCACTGGGGCCTTCGGTGGAGCTCCCTATAAGGCCACGAAACGTGTGAGGGTGTGCCGAAATGGGTGCGGCGCCGCCATGCCAAAACAGCCACTGGGGCCTTCGGTGGAGCTCCCTATGGGGCCACGAAACGTGTGAGGAGTGTGCTGAAGTGGGTGCGGCGCCGCCATGCCAACGCAGCCACTGGGGCCGTCGGTGGAGCTCCCTATGGGGCCACGAAACGGGTGAGGGGTGTGCCGGAATTGGCGCGGCGCCGCCATGCCAACGCAGCCACTGGGGCCTTCGGTGGAGCCCCCATATGGGGCCACGAAACGTGTGAGGGGTGTGCCACATTGGGTGCGGCGCCGCCATGCCAACGCAGCCACTGGGGCCTTCGGTGGAGCTCCCTATGGGGCCACGAAACGTGTGAGGAGTGTGCTGAAGTGGGTGCGGCGCCGCCATGCCAACGCAGCCACTGGGGCCTTCGGTGGAGCTCCCTATGGGGCCACGAAGCGTGTGAGGGGTGTGCCGAAATGGGTGCGGTGACGAGGGAGGGGGCAGCGGGAGGAGGAAGGAGGGAGAGGAGACGCGGGGCACCGTCTCTTCAAAACGAGGACCCAACACCACAGGATGGTTGGGAAAAATCGAGAAGTTCTATCAAAATCTCAGGATCTACATGGGAACATTAAGAATGCTCGAGACTCTGGCCGAAACTTTAAGGTTTCTTAAGCATCGCCTAGGGCGTATTGCACTGGACTCTTTGCTTTCGGACGCCCGAATTTGGTGCGGAACAAAAGAATGGGCACGCTGCCCAACAGTGACTACCTGCCAGACCACCCCAACCCAACCCGAAGGCCCGAATTTCCGGTTGGGGGGGGTACGGGTTCCACGCGTGTTTTCTCAATGTTTCCCGACCCCCCCCCTCACTAGAAATGGAGGGCAAATTGAGGCCTTCGGGTTGGGTTGAAGGAGGAGGAGGAGGCGGAGGAGGAGGAGGAGGAGGAGGAGCCAAAGTTGTGGAGGAGGAGGAGGAGGAGGAGGAGGAGGAGGAGGAGGAGGTGGGTGGTGAAACAGCCAGAGTTGTCCGAAACCGACAGCGGCCGCCGTGGGGCCGGCGGCCCCTTGTCCCAAGGGAGCGAGGCCCGCGGCGGCACGGACAGAAGGCCCTGTTCAAAGTGGGCAAAGACTGCGGTCGGTCTTCGTGCACCTTCTTTCTGTGCCAATTTCGATCGTCCCTGTCTATAAAACGACGCGCAGATCTGGACAAAATCGGATCGGGATAACTCGAAATCTCTGAGAATCGGCGGGTTTGGAGGATGTATTGGGCGCCGCGGCCGCTCCAGAGCGTTCCGGAACGCTCTGAGAGCGCTCCGGAACGCTCTGGAGCGATTTATCCAGATCCTAGCCCTGTTTTAGTCTATCCCATCCCTCCTCCCTGCATTCCATCCCGCGCTCTACGATTGAACAATATGAATGCTACTCGCCGCTCTCCCCTGGTGGCGTCGGGGAAATGGCTGGCCCCCATCCGCGCACTGGTTTCTTACACACAGGATTCCCGGGAAACGGGTTTGCGCTTGGGTATTTGTCCAAATTCTGCTCTCGCTGAAGCGCTGGCCTCATTTTCGGGCTACCGCTCGTTCCGAAACGTGCTCCCGCTGCAACGCTGGCCTCATTTCCGCGCGTTCCGAATCGCGCTCCCGCTGCAGCGCTGGCGTCATTATTTCCAGCGCCATGCCACGGCATGGTTGACGGTCCTTCCAAATAAGCAGCAAAATCTAAAAAAAAACGATCGGAAGTGATTCCACATTCGGTGTCGATTCGTTGCTGTCTGCGCCGCAGACACCCCCCCACACTGCGGGGCGTCGCCACTCCATGCTATGTCAGGCTACGCGTCCTCATTTCCGCGCTTCCGCGCTTGGGTTGTCTTGCAAGATGTTGTTCTCGCTGAAGCGCTGGTCTCATTTTCGGGCTACCGCTCGTTCCGAATCGTGCTCCCGCTGCAGCGCTGGCCCCATTTCCGCGCTTCCGCTCTTTCCGAATCGTGCTCCCGCTGTAGCGCTGGCGTCATCATTTTCTGCGCCATGCCACGGCATGCATTTCGGTCCTTCCTAATAAGCCCCAAAATCTAGAAAATGGCCCCCAACAAAAACCATCGGAAGTGATTCCACATTCGGGGTCGGTTTGTTGATTTGTTGGTCGCAAGGAGCCCCCCCACACTTTGCGGCGTCGCCACGCCATGCTATGTTAGACTCCGCGTTAATATTCAACACCATGCCACGTAGGGCTACGCCATGCTGCGACATCAACGTGTGCGAGTATAGAGAAGAGATCTGCGCAATGATGCGTGATGGGAAGAGGGATAGAACGTCAGAAATGATGCGAGCGCACCCAGCTTGCCTCTCTCCCTTCCCTGCATTCCTGAAGGGATCCTGGGACACAAATAAATAGACGCAGATAACAGGACCCAACAAATGTCTCCATATTTTCGGGGTCTCCGTCTCCCCCCCCATTCCCATAGTTTCCCAGGTGCTCCCGGGAATCGACGATTCCTTGTGTCTCCGTGTGTTTCTGCCCCTCCTGCACTCCATCTCGCGCCGCCTTCCCTTCTCCCTCGGCCCCCCGGCAACGTTATGTTGCAGTCTCGGGGGACCTTGTCTGTCCCGTCGCGGCCCTATCCGCGTCGAATCCGTGTCGAATCCGTGTCAGACTCGTCGGGTCCGTGTCGAAGCCGTGTCGAATCCGCGTCGGATTCGCGCCAAATCCGCGCCGAGCCCGCATCGAGCCCGCGCCGGGTACAAAAAAAGACACCAATTTCGGGGACAGGCGAGGCCCCCCGAAGATGCAACGTAAGTCACGGGCCACGACGGCGGCGGCGGGGGGGGCGCGCGGCCTCCAGGCAGTCCTGGAGGCTCGCCCGGAAGGCGGGGGCCGGGCCGGCGCAGCCCGCGGCCTGCGCGGGGCAGAGGGCGGGCCGGCGGGAGGGCGGACGTTTGGGGGGGGGGGGGGGCACAGGGGCGACGAACACAGGGGGCCACATACGAGCCCGACCCCACCCTGCCCCTCTCGGCGGTGGACAGACCTCCCTTCAGTAAACCTCACCTTAGTGAAAACGGCCTGGGGCCGAAACCGGCGGACCTGGACCCGGAACAAAAATGACGGCCGCGACGCCCTCTCGCGAACCGAAAACGGCCAATTCCTGAATCGACGTGTCAGGGTAGGAGGTCTGTCCAGCCCCGACCCCTCAGAAATCGTGGCGGGGGGGAGGGGTAGGCTTCGCATGTGGCCCCCCCTAGAGCAGGAGCGGGCCTTCCGCGAGAGGGCACGGCGGTCGTGCGCCGTGGCTGGCGCGGGGAAGCCGGCGCGGCGCACCCCAGCGGAAGCGGAGGCACTCACGGGCGGCCTCACGCGGGCAGCCTGCGCGCCATGGTCAGCGCAGACGGCCCCCGTTGTCTTGCGTGGCTCATGTCATGGCGCGCCCAAATTGTGGGTTTGCTGCCTGACCCCCCCTTCCATGTCGCGATCAACTGTCAGTCTTCAACCCCCATTCCCATCAGAGAAAGACGGTGGAGAGGGGGCGGAAACAGGGAGAAGGGAACGGCGAGAGAGAAGGGACGAGACAAGACGACAAATAGGAGGAGCAGGACGACGACGTCGACGACGAAGACGGCGGCTACGAGGGAGGCCGCGGTCATGACCGAAGCGAAAAACAAAACCAGCAAAACACACAGCCCGCTGCCCCCCCACCCCTACCCTCGCCCTGGCCGTTCCTTGTCCTCTACCTCCCGCGGGACTCATCACAGCGGCCGCCTGTCAACCAAATCTCAATCCCCAGCATCACGATCACCACCATCATCACAATCACCTTCATCATCGCTCCTCCGCATCATATTCACTATGGTCATCATCACAAACGTCCCCATCATCATCACCATCACCAGTCACCATCATCGCTCATCACCGTCGCTGACCATCATCAGCACCAGCATCATCAGTATCACCCCCCAGAAATACCACCAGTACCACCATCTTCATCACCCGCATAATAATCATACTCGTTATAGCCCTCGTCATTTCCACAAACCTACTCCTACGCATCGTCGTCACGCATCGTCGTCATTATCACCACCACCATCATCACAATCAACACCATCATCTCATCACAACCGCCATCAACAGCAGCATCGCCCTCATCACACTCATCATCACAATCATCATCAACATCACCGTACTCAGCATCACCAACATCATCATCACCAAACATAGCATTACCACCACCGCAACCATAAACATTATGCCGACCCCCCTCCTCCACGCCGTTACTCCTCCCCTGAGCTCCTTGCCTTCCCTCCAAAATCAACGCCTCCCATCTGGACGAATTATCCATAATACGTATCCTCATCCACCCCCTTCATCTCATTGCTCTTTCCCTCAGCCACCCTACTTCCGATCTGCCTCCCGTCCCTGCTTATACTGCCCCTCTCTTTTCCGCCCCCCCGCTCTTCCCCCGCCTCTCCCCTCTCCCCACCTCCACGTCCCCTCTCCGCCGCGAAGCCGCAAGGGGGGCAAGGAAGGCCACAAACGGCGAACGCGTTCACGATCCACGCTTGGGCGTCACTTGGCCGGGGGCGACGAATGGGGGGGGGGAGACGCACGTCTCGGGACCTGAAGGCTCCCTTTGGGACCTCAAGGGCCCCTTCAGGGACCCTCAAGGGCCCCCGTCCTGCAGCCCTCGCCCCCCCCCCCCCGGGCATCCACCACGCGACGCCCAGAGCGCACTCGCGGCATGGACTCCGGGATGCGATCCAGCGGATGCGCGGTCGCAGGGATGCGCTGCGCGCGGGGCAAGCGCGCACCAAAGCGCCCCGCATTCCACGTGGGGTGGTCGCGGCCGAAGACGCCCGGCCCGAGAGGTCGCGGATGTGGACATGTTTCCCGAACGCGGAAAGGACGGGAAGGGGAACGAGCGAAGTGGCCGAACGCCAAACGCGCGTGGGCAGACAGGTGCAACGAGGCAAGCTTACGAGCAACGCGCCACATGCGCGCGAGAGAGCGAACGGACACGCCAGTCTTGTGGGGAGACAGCTCCTACGAGCCAAACGCGGGCCAGAAAGGCGAGGGGAGGAATCGGAGGAGGAAGAGGATGTGGAAGAGGCTGTGGTCGTCGCCATCGTCTTCGTCGTCGTCGTAGGTCGTCAATCCCAAAGACAAGAACTAGAAGGACAAGGCAAACAAAAGTCTTATTTAAGTCGATTGGAAGCCCCCTATCCGGCGTGTGAACTACAAGGAACCTCAACGAGAGCTTCAGCTCTGAGCCTAAGCAAGAGCATCAGCTCTGTTTGGGGGTGGTCGCCGGGGTGGCTCTGCTGGGGAAGGGGGGGAGGGGGGGGGGGGCGGTCCCCCATCTGGCGCTTTATTAATGATTTGCGCACCCCGAGATGTTGAGAGGGGGTCCTGGAAAGAGGGGGAGGGGGGGGGGTCGGTCCCCGATCTGGCGTTTTCTTAATGATTTGCGCACCCCCAAGATGTTTCGGGGGGTCCAAGGGACCTCCCTCGGAACCCTCCCTGGACTACCCCCGGGACCCCTCCAGGCACCCCCCCAGCGGGAACGAGGACGAGCGAGGACGGAGGGGAGCGAGCACGCGACGCAAAGGGGTCAGCGGGAGGCACAGGAGAACGAGAACCAAGGAGCAGAAAGAGCACCGGAAGAAGCGAGGAGGGAGGAGGCCACAAAGCCGCGAAGATCACCGAATCTGGAGCCCCCCGGAGCGGCGGCACCCGCCATGGGGCCATCACAAGAAACGTCGTATAGTTAAGTCGATTGGAAGCTCCCTCCCTGTATCCTTTCCCTGCCCTGGGGGGGGTCCCCGGTCAGAATGCCGCCCCCCAGAGGTCCCAACTGGTCGCCAGCGAAGTTCCCGGGGAGGTCTCGCGTTCAGGGTCGGCGGCACCGGCCGTGAGCACCAGCCGTAAAGCCTCCGCAATGCGCCCATGACATTCGCCGACCGTTTCGGGCTTCCTCGGCGTGTGAGATTGTTACCCCTCCGGGCCCCTCCCTCTGGAGCCCCGTCTGGCCAATTTGAAAAGAATGGTGCCCGTAGCGCCGATGGTCCCAGCGGACACATCAGCTCCCGGAAATCTCCGAGGCGGCCCACCAGGTCTCCAAGACTGCCATGGATTATGTCAAGGCGGCCCAGTAGTCCCCAAGGCCAAGGCAGCCCAGGCGGGCCTCAACAGGATCGACACCCAGAGAGCCGTCAGAGGGAAAAGCAATCTAATTCTAACCTTTTGGTTGTCCAATGACTTTCGCGTTGCTTACTGCTTCCGACAGCCCTAGACGGCCCAAGGCGCCAACCAGACTGGACCCAAACTGGCAGAGAGGCCACCAAGACGGCCTCAGGGGCCCCACGAGGGCTCGGGGGAGGAGCCCGAAAGGGCTCCGGACGCCCTCCCCCCCCGAAGAAGCCCCCACAATCCCCAGTCTTCAGAGCGCCCAGTAGGCGCCCAAGAGCTCCCCAAGAGAGCCCCAAGACGTCATTGTTGAGCTTCCGGGGGGGGACCCAATTCAGCCTCCCCCCACCTCTTCTTTGACCCATGAGGACCTAGACGGCGCCAAGAGGCCCCGCCCCCCCGAAAAGAGCCTCAAGAGGTCCCCAATAGGGCCAACAGGGCTTACAACATGGCTTCAAGATACCTCTTCCAAGAGGCTCGCGGATCGAAAACTCCGCGAAGACTTTATGGCTGACTCGTCGTCGTCGTCGTCGCTTTCACCGTCGTCGCCTTCTTCCTCCACCATCCTACTACTGGTTCACCCTCTTTTCCTTCATCTGCTTATTCTTGTTATTATTATTATGTTTCTCTTTTCTCTTCCTCCTCCTCCTCATGCTCATCCTCACGTATTATTGTCCTCCTCCTGTTGCCAGAGAACGCCTCACCGCCCCGAGACGTCCGAAGATAACTCCAACAAGGCCCCCAGGAGACCTCAGTGGCGCTGGTACGGCATGGGAACACATGTTAAATCCTTCAACACATGTTCCAGCCCTTCCTGCGACCGCGCAAGAATTCAATGTCGGTTGTTACACTGCATGCTTTTACACTTCCCTGATCAAAGCAACTCGCCTGGCGATCATCCCTGGATGGGCCGGTGGGGTTAAGCGAAGCTTCAAGAATAATCGGCGTCCCTCCTCCTCCTCCTCCTCCTCATCCTCCTCCTCCTCCTCATCATCATCATCATCATCCTACTAGCCTTCCCCGTCGTTCCCTTTTCTCCTGATCCTGGTCCTCTATCTCATTCTTCCCCCGGATTCCCTTCACGTACCCGGTCCGCGGCCAAGAGACGCCGCGCAACCAGCTCTTGATCCGCGCTGGGATTTCAGCAAAGGTGACCATGAATCAGATCTACGCTTGCCTTCGCCCCCATGACCAGTAATCAGTTCTGATGATAGTGTTCAGCACTCGGCGTGAACAGTTTCCCGAAGCAACATTCTTCCACGTCGATCCATCCCGAACCCGCCCCAGCCCGCCAAGTTTTGCCAGACCTACGCATTGATGTAACACAGAAACAATATTGTTGTGTGTTGGGTGTTGAACTAAATCATGCCCACGGTGTTGTGAACCAACAATGACGGAACTGTGTGGCTGTAGAGAACACCCGGCCGAGTCCGCCAAGACTGTCTGCGTGTGTGTGTGTGTGCGTAAGTATGTAGGTGCGTGTGTGTGATGGGGACTCCTGGGGTGGTCGTCCCATGGTGCTCCTGGGAGACGCCTTTCAATCCGAAGCTCCCCTCCCCCCCCCGTTTCCCTGCGGCCACCTTTGAGCAGGGACCGACCGTCCTGGCATTCCTATAGTCCTACCACGAAATGTTCTTACAACACAAAAATTTTGGAAAAAAATAACAATGCTCTTAGAACATTAACCCGATGTGTTAAACCAAGACAGCCCCAGCCAGAAATGTTCTAACATTTCGTGGAAACCACGAAAGGTTCTTAGCACATTGTTTGGTGGGGCTATCGCGGAACCAGGACGCTTCGCCACTGCTCGAACCCGAAGCTCCCCTCCCCCCCCGTTTCCCTGCGGCCACCCGGGGCTATCCAAGCTCGCCAGCCAAAAAGTGACTCGAGTGTCGCGGCCGGCCCGTCGCACTCCATGCCCTCTGGCGGGCGCCCTGCCGTGCCCACCAGTTGGTGCCCCGTGGTGCCCCAGAGGGCCGCGGTCGGCCATGCGCGCGCGGGTGCCATATGGCTGACTACGGGGCAGTGTTTCATACATGGGATGCTTAGAACTATTTGATCTTTACTACATGTTTCATTTATGAATAGACTTATGCATGAACTCATCGTGGTTTTTAGTACTAGATCCCTGCATTTTTCATACATGATCCATACGCGGAGCATGCGTAAAAAAAACGGCACTGCAGTGTAGCGTGGCCGCTGCCACACAGTACCCTCTTATGTGTACCCTGGGCCTTGCCGCAGGGTGCTGGCATTTGCCCTCCGCCGCCGCCCGGCCCCGCTGAGCGGGCCCGGCTTCCTCCCCTCCCCGACGGCGCCGGGCGTCCGCTTCCTCCCCCGTGCATCGCGGCCTGATGCGCAGTTGTTCGACCAGCAACTGCCCCTTCCGCCAGCGCAGTCACTCTGCCTAGCCGCCAACGCAACAAAAAGGTGTGTGTGTGTGTCTGTGTCTGTGTCTGTGTCTGTGTCTGTGTCTGTGTCTGTATCTGAGTCTGTGTGTATGTGTGTGTTTGTGTGCGCGCAGTTCGTCTCCCGAGGCTGACGCGGCATCCTCATCATGGCTTTCCTTTTTCTCGGGGGGGGGGGGAGGGCGTGCCCGGCCGAATGCTGGAAACGTGGCGCCGGCCCGTGGTACCGTAATGCCCTCCAGTCCAGAGGCTGCTCAAAAGCACGTCTCCTGCCGGTCTGGAAAACAGGCCGCAAAGCTCCCGCTCCCCTCCGCCCTCCCTCCTCCTCCTCAGCCTCCGCCTCCTCCTCCTCCTCCTCCTCCTCCTCCTCCGCCTCCTCCTCCTCCTCCGCCTCCTCCTCCTCCTCCTCCTCCTCCTCCTCCTCCGGTTGGTTGGCAGCGGCGCACTGGAAACAAAAAAATCCTCCTCCTCCTCCTCCTCCTCCTCCTCCTCCCCCTCCCCTCGCGACCCCTCGCGGCCTCTGTCACGACGTCCGGGACGGAGAGGTCCGAGGCCTCCGCGGGGGCGGCAAACAAGGGGGGAGCGAGCGGGCATGCGGCGTGCCGGTGCCGCGCCTCGGGGAGGCGGAGCAGGAGGCAGGAGGGAGGGAGGAGCACGATGCTGCGGGAGGGGGGGAGGGAGGAGGAAGGGAGGAGGGAGGGAGGAGGGGGAGGAGGGAGGAGGGGAGGAGGAAGGGAGGAGGGAGGAGAGAGGAGAGGGAGGAGGGGGAGGGAGGGAGGGGGGAGGGAGGGAGGGAGGGAGGAGGGAGGGAGGAGGAAGGGAGGAGGAGGGAGGAGGGAGCACGATGCTGCGGGCAGGGATGGGGCGGGCAAGGCCGGTGCCATCTCAAGCGGGGCGCCGAAGCGGAACGGGAAGTGCACTCAGCCTCCTCCCTGCTCTCGGTGCTGCGCGGCTCCTTCTCCCCTCTCGCAGCGAAGCTCTGGAGCTCAGAGTCCTTTATTTGCGGTCTTGCGTCGTGTCGATCGTCGCCCCCCGCCAGGCCATATATCCCGCCCCAACCTCTTCATGGCGGACCCCAAAAGCCCAGGATGGCCCTAGGAGACTCACCCCATCGACAGGAGGAGGAGGAGGAGGAGGAGGAGGAGGAGGAGGAGGAGGAGGAGGAGGAGGTTGAGGAGGGGGCCACCATGGAGACTCACCCCATCGTCGCCCCTACTGTTCCTCGCCCGTCCCTCGTGGCAGGGGCCAGGGCGCGCGTGCCGCCCGTCCCTGCAGTCCTTCCCCCCTCGCGTGGCGATGCGAGAGCGGGCCGTGCGACGGAGGGAGCAGGGACGGAGGGAGAGCGGGAGAAGGAGGCAGGAGGAGGAGGCAGGAGGAGGGAAGGAGGGAAAGAGGAGGAGGGAAGAGGATTCGGCGGTGGACAAACCTCCCTTTAAAACCTTTCGTGAAAACGGCCTGGGACCGAAGCCGACGGACCTGGACCCGCGAAAACGACGGCCACGACGCCCTCTCGCGAACCGAAAACGGCCAATTCGCTGATCGACGTGTCAGGGTAGGAGGTCTATCCACCTCCGAGAAAGGAGGAGGGGAGAGGATCCAAAGCAGTGTGGGCTGGCCCGACCCGTGTGCACTCCGGCCCCGCCCACGCCGCAAAGCCATCCCTCGGACGCGGAGAAGGACCGCCAGGGGAACGAGGCCCAAAGATGCCATGCCCCCTTCCCCTTCTCCTCCTCCTCCCGAGACGAACCCCCTGTCCTCGAAATTGAGGGATGACAAAAACGACCCTACCCTGGGTTTCAAGTGTGTGGTCTGTAAACCTCCTGGGACCCCCCAAAGCCTAGAGCCGCCAGGACGCGGCGCATCACGCAGGGTTCACCCTGTCAGCCCACAGGAAATTCAGCGCACAGCGCCTGGTAAACCAGGGTAGGGGCGTTGTTCATGCCCTTGGCGTAAGGCACATGGCGGCGACTATGATCCAGGCCCACAAAATCTCGGTCATCCGGCTCCCGACTGGTCTCCCCCTCCCCCTCTCGACGCTGATCGGAATCAATCCAAATTGTCAGAAATTCAATTAAAAAAGAACGCAACATGCAACATCAGCAACCGTGTAGCACAAAGTCGAAAGGCAAAAAAAGAGGGAGCAGGTGACAAGCGTAAGCAAGCGTCAAGTGGCGGGAATGGCTGCAATCAGGAGCTGCAAAATTAACTGATACAATCATCCTCCCCCTCATCGTCGTCGTCCTCCTCGTTGTCCTCCCTCTTCCACCTCCCGTCCGTCGCCCTCCTCCTCGTCGTTCTCTTAAGAAGCATAATGTGCTGGAGGGATATACCAAGAAGGGGGGAAGGAGTGCGTCGCATGGCTGGTGCTGGACTGTCTCCCAAAACGGGCGTGACCCAAACCGGTCAGAGGGCCTCCAGAGCGTTCTGACCGTCGTCCGTCAGAGGCAGCACGTTTATGCATAACACCTTCGGGGCGGCGCGGGCGGTCTGTGGCGAACGGCAGGCTGTGTGGGGCGGACAAGGTACCGAAATGTATGTACATATGCAACTGTACGTCGGCAACGAAAGGAAGCATTGCAAAATGGTCGCTACGAGGCTACGAGCGAATGTGTGGGCTTATCTGGCTTGGGATGCTGACGCCGATAAGCTCGAAATGCTTTCAACAAACAGGGACAATGGATTACCTGCGCGGGCTGTTTGACGGATTAGCCGGCAACAAGATTGGGAAACGAATTCGTCTCCCGCGGCGGTCACTGTTGGGGTTCCTGCAAGTCCTAGGAATCCCTAAGAGTTTCCAGAGAAGATTCGTAGCAGGTTCCGAAAGGTTCATGCGGATTCCTAAGGATTCTCCGGGTTCCGCAGGATGCCCAATATTCTTCTGGATATGATTCTTACGAATCCTTGGTGATCCCATAATCGATTCCCAAAAACCAAAAAATGTCAGTCCAATGGTTCCCTGAGGATTCCTATGGATTTCCAAGCGTGCGTGGGATTCCGTTGGAATCCCTTCGGATTCCCAATGAGTTTTCACAATCTCCTTGGATTCCTGGGGAATCCTAAATAATTGTAGGATTCCTCATGGCCTCTACGGATTCTTGAAGATTTGCAAGATTACCAACGGATCCCAACAGATTTTTACTGATCCGTCGGATTCCTTCAGATCGGATTTCTGGGCGCCCATGGGAACCCTGAAAATTCACGGGAATCCCTGGGGGCAACTGGAAACAAAACCATGTGGGTTTGTAACATAATCTTTGTACGATGATTCTCGAATTTCCTCCCGCGCGCAGGGCAGCCCACGGCAGACTACCCGCTGCGAAAACAATCACTCGATAATATTCCGCACGGCGAACAACAGTAAGTTAATACTTCTACGCGCGGCAACAACTGAACAATCTCACGACAACTGAGGAAGGCTCTAACTGCGCACGGCGACCTGCCCGATTCCCATATGGAGACGACGACGATCACGACGACGGCAACGACGAGGGCGACGCGCGTTCTCGATTGGAAATGTAGCGAACGATCTTCTTATCTTATAAGCAGGTTCCAATTCCCCCCGCTGCTTGCGCGAGCCACACGTTGAGCAGGGGCCGACCGTCCTGGCAATCCTATGATCATACCACGAAGCGTTCTTAGAACCCAAAAATGTTCTAATAACAAAAACGATGCTCTTAGAACATAAACCCGATGTGTTAAAACAAGACGGTCCCCGCCAGAAATGTTCTAAGGACATGTCGTGGGAACCACCAAAAGGTTCTTAGAACATTACTTGGTGGGGCTATAGGCGGGCCGGGACGCTTCGACACTGCTTGAACACGGGGCCTGCGTGTCCAGGGACTCGCAGCCCCCGAACCCGCTGGCCCTGCTCACGGGCCACAGACCGCGCAGTGGGCCACAGGCCACTGCCGTGGAGGCGGCCGCGCGTGCTGTCGGCGGCCCAGATCGACCTCACCTCGGACAGCCAATACGCCGTGCGGGCGTGCGCGCACATGGAGGCTGGCCCCGACACGCGGGGCTGGGAGCACGCTGGCATGTGGCAGCTTTTCGTAGGGCCGTGTGGCGGCTGCCAGCGCACAAGGCCCCGGCGGATGCGCGGCGTCTGGGGGTGAGCGAGCGGGACCGCCGCGGCTGATGGCAACGATGGCGCCGCGGCTGCGCAGCGTGTCCCGCCGCGCGAGGTCGTGCTCGCGGGCCGTAGGGAGCTCGAAGCGTTGGAAGAGGAGCAGCGGGTTCAGGCAGCAGGCAGCCGCCCTGGCTGCTGCGCCAGTGCGCCAGCGCCACGGCCCGCGTTTCTTGAGCGCGGTCCGCCGCGGGGCTCAGGCTCGCCCTCCGTCCGCCCCAGCCGGCCCCACCCCCGCCAGCTGCGCGGCGCCGCCGGCTTCTCGGCCGCGCCGGCAAGACGGCAACGAGCCCGCCAGCGCAGGGGCCATACTCGCCGCCTTCTTCGCAGGGCGCTCGCGGTGGTGGCCCCAGTCTCTCGCGCAAGGGCCCAGCCGGGTATGCTGTTTTCGCTGCGGCGGCAACGCCGAGACTGCGGCGGCCATGATGGGCGGCGCGTGCCTGGGCTGGCAGGACCGCTACATGGACTTTGTATGCATGAAAACTGCGGCAACCAGGCGCGCAACTCAAGATGAGTACATCCTTGCGGCATAAAGCCCTTGCGTTCCACATGAACTCGTCAGTCCGCATCCCAGCCCATACTACTACTACTACTACTACTACTACTACTACTACTACTACTACTACTAGTGCTACTACTACTACTACTACTGCTACTACTACTACTGCTATTACTACGACTACTGCTACTACTACTTCTTCTACTACTACTACTACTCCTATTCCTACTCCTCCTCCTCCTCCTCCTACTACTACTACTACTACTATAATTACTGTAACTACTACTACTACTGTAACTACTACTACTACTACTGTAACTACTACTACTACTACTACTTCTACTACTACTACTACTACTTCTACTTCTACGACTAAAACTACTACTACTACTACTACTACTACTACTAGTAATACTACTATGACTACTACTACTACTACTACTACTACTACTACTACTACTACTACTACTACTACTACCACTACGACTACGACTACGACTACGACTACTACGACGACTTCTTCTTCTTCTGCTACTACTACTACTACTACTACGATTACTACTATTACTACTCCTGCTACTATTACTACTACTACTACTACTACTACTACTACTACTGCTGCTGCGGCTGCTGCTGCTGCTACTTCTACTACGACTACGACTACTACTACTACTACTACTACAACTACTACTACTACTACTACTATTATTATTGTCTACTGCTACTACTACTACTACTACTACTACTACTACTACTACTACGACTACTACTACTACTACTACTACTACCACCACCACTGCTAATTCTTACCACTAGCAATACTAACACTTTTACTAGCACTGCGGACGACAACGACCCATACGACTACAAGCCGAATGCTCATTCGCGCGGGCCATACACATATTTACTGGTACACATGTTACTAGCGCTGGAAAACACCTGACACGAGTAGGGGAATCTTACACAATAGAAGTCTGGATGTGACACTGATGAAGGTACGCATTCATTTGCGAACACGAACGGCATTACACAACGGGCGACTACGAATACTGCTACCACGTCGAGCATTGCGTACGCATAGGCAAATCAACTTACTTGTGCAGATTTGAATGATAATGCTGATGATGCGACTACTACTACTAGTACTTCTTCTTCTTCTACTACTACCATTACTGCTACTACTACTACTACTACTACTACTACTACTACCAGTACTACTACTACTACTACTCTACAACAACAACTACTACTACTACTACTACTACTTCTACCACTACTACTACTACTACTACTACTACTACTACTACTACTACTACTACTACTACTACTACTACTACTACTACTATTGAAATTACTACTACTACCGATACTACTACGACTACGACTACTACTACTACTACTACTACTACTACTACTACTACTACTACGACTACTACTCCTACTACTACAACTACTACGAATACTGCTACTACTACTACTACTACTACTACTACTACTACGGCTACTACTACTACTACGACTACTACGGCGACTAATACGACTAGTACTATTACTACTACTACGGCTACGCCTAGGACGACGACGACGACGACGACGACTACTACTACTATTACTACTACTACTACTACTACGACTCCTAGTACTGATACGGATCGGAATGCAAACACGACTACTAGTCTAACTGTACGAATATAGTGAATGCTGTTGTGAATGCATTTACATACATGTGTACGCAAATTCCTACCATGAACGAAAGCGAGTGCATCTACGAACGGGGAACGACGAGAACCCACGACGCCCGTCCAATTCTGGACCAGGCAACGCACCTACTTCATTATTTGATACTGCCCCTTGCTGACAGTCTGTCGAAGGAAAAGCGTGACACGTGATCAAGATACCCATCATACTTACAGAAACAATGCTAACATGCTGTTGCAGCGGTGATGCCGCATCTTCTGTGGGTTGAGTTCAGACAGCGCCGTCCCCCCTCCCGAAGGATGAACAGCACCAATTGTCCACCCCAACCACCACCCGACAAATGGGCCAAGCTCATCCCAGTCCGCGCTACGCCACCTCATGCATCAACTTTCTCTCTCTCTCTATTTCCTCCTCCTTCTTCTCCTCCTCCTCCTTCTCTTCATCCGCCCCCTTCCTTCCGCCCTTTTGAGGGCGAAGCAGCAGGGGCAGCTGATCATTCGGTCCTCCAACTGACAGAACTTGTGCCAACAATGATGTTAGCGGCTAGCTGCATCGAAATAAGGACATGTACACCTAAGGTATAGCAAGAGCGTAAGAAAATGATGTTATTGCTATTGCTAGCGGTTGTAATATACAATCATGTGAACGAGCTGAGTAATTCGGCCTTGACATATTATACGGAAGCGGAAGCGCCAACAGTAAACATGATAATGGTAGTTAGTGGCACAGTTGAATGAGTCATTTGACATGGCCTTTACAACGCATGTGATGCACCATTAACCTCGGCACTTCCCTTTCAGCAGTAGGGACTAACAGCGGGTCGGGACACCAGATCGGAATCTAAAAAAAGTGGAACCATGCTGACGGGGCCAACCATGCTGAGGGGTCACTACAATCAGGTGCCCCCTCAGCATGTTTAGGTCCTCGCCTCTGGGCAAGCATCGTCGCCCAACAGCGACCGAATATGGCCGCAGGAGGGCCCAGTGAGGCCCCCAACACGGCCTCCGAATACCAAATGGCCCCTTAGAGGCCCCAGAGGTCTCCAAGAAGCCACCGTGAGCCCCAGAGGCCCCCAAGAGCCCATCAGAGGATCCAAAGCCCTCAGGAGGCCGCAAGAGGCCCTCAAGGTGTCTCCTCTTCCTCCTCCTCCTCCTCCTCCTCCTTCTCCTCCTTCTCCTCCTCGCCCTCCTCGTCATCCTCGGCATCCTCGTCATCCTCGTCATCCCTGTCATCCTTGCCATCATCATAATTATCATCCTCATCCTCATTATCCTCATCATCCTCATCATCCTCATCATCCTCATCATCCTCATCAGCAGCATCAGCATCAGCATCAGCATCAGCATCAGCATCAGCATCAGCATCAGCATCATCAGTATCAGATCAGTATCAGTATCAGTATCAGTATCAGTATCAGTATCAGTATCAGTATCAGTATCAGTATCATCATCATCATCATCATCATCATCATCGTCATCATGATCATCATCAGCACTATCATGCTCAAAATCAGCATCGTCATCATCATCATCATCATCAGCATAATCATCATCAGCAGCATCCTCATCATCCTCATCATCCTCATCATCATCATCATCATCATCATCATCATCATCATCCCTCTCCTCAGATTTATCCCCAACAGGTTAACCCTAGGTTTTTCACCCTTGCTCGGGGAACCTACTGCCCAACAGCTTGGTCAGACTTCGGCCAAACGTTCGGCCACATGGGTGTTTCCAAGGGGGCGTCGGGGGTTCGCAGTAAGTATCCTCGATAAGCTACTTAAGCAATACCAATCAAAGGACGCATATAACCATCCACAATCCCTGGCAAGAGAAAAACACTAGCAGAGTCGGCGGCAGTTGCGGCAGGAGGGCGAGGCGGAGATGGCGAAGGCGAAGGACGGCGGACGGAGCGGGGGACTGGGCCGACAGGGGGGGAATCCATCGAACAAAGGGAAATCAAGGCGGCCAGCCTCTCCATCAACGGCCCTGTAAGGCTCGTCGGTCTCCACCAGCTTGGATCCCTCCGAGCAGTCGGAGCTACCCGCGGTCGTGAGCAAGACCTGGCTGGGCCGAAAACTACCTGTCGACGATTCCTACGGCTAGTCAGATTGCGGCGACTCGAGGGTGACACCTACACTTAGATCTGTGTACCCCTAATTCGATCTGATCGTCGCACGTGCCCGATTATGTTTCAGGCCTGCACGTCTGCATCCCCTTGTGCCTGTCCACTGCAGTCCCTGGCGCGATAGAGAGTGCCATCATGCTCGCGGTCCTCCCTGTGGCCTTATGAGAACATCCACACTGGTAAGAAAAATTTGCAACGCCCTGGGCCCAGGCTCCCGGGTCTCGCCGATCTCGCGAGCTGCTTGCTCGGACAGCTTCAGCACTCCATTATTGAACTCATGGGGCCCGGAGCAGTCTTGCGAGCACCATCGTTGGGGCCATGTTGTGTGGGGGCCGTGCCGAACACAGCTCCTGAGGCGTTGAGGGCGAGGCTTGTAGCAAGAATCGCCGAACCAGCAACGGCGACTGGGGCCCACTTGTGCGCATCCGAAAGGCGCGCTGCTGAAACTCAGGATGCCCGAAGCCCGCGCCGTGCCGCACCGTGCCGTGCGCGGCCCGCGTGCGCGCGCGCGCCGCGCCTGACCTGCAGACGGGTGCGCGGAGGTGCCGCACCGAGCCCACGTGCGGCGCCGTGCGGCCGCGCGCCGCGCCGCCGTGCGCGGGCCATGCCCGACATCTGGGATGCGGGAAGTGTGCCGTGCCGTGCCGCGCCCGCGTGCCGCGCGCGCGCGGTGCCGGGCCCGCGTGCCGTGCCGTGTGTGCACCGTGACTGGATACAATGCCTGGCCATCGCTCGGGCGTCCATTCCCTGTGCTTTTGTCGGTTTCGTCCGTGGCTTGTTCGCCAAATGATCAAGGATGCTCCTCGATGGTCCTCGCCGAGGGAAAAGTGCACACGTCCGAGCGATGCCAAAATACTGGAATGCGAAGGGAAGTGCCTTGCCGTGCCGCGCCGTGCCTGCAGGCCTTGCCGGTGCAGGGCCCAGATGTCGGACACGATGCCCTGTCTCACGGAACGCTGCTGTTCAGGATCTCTATATACGTGTCAGGTTGTTCAAAGTTGTTTGGGGCATTGTGGCTCCCTGAAGGTTCTGACTTGGGCACTTTTGAACAACATTGGAGCCCCCTTGACGCCTTGCGGGGTCATCTCCGGGCCCACTTAACCGCAGGTGGGCCTCACAGGACCCCAAGGGCTGCACGATGGCCCCATAGGTCCCCACGATGGCACAAGAGGATCCCGACGTGCCAAAACACCCTTAAAAAGATACCAGGAGGCTCCAAGATGTGGTTACCCTGCCATGCTTCATGACTCAGGTGGGACCGCCGACAAACCACCGCGAGCTCGGACACCTCACGCTTGCTCGACGGTCCACACTTTGTTTGTCGCAGCGGAAAGAATCCTACCCGCACTCTGAGGCAGACGGGGGGTGCACGTGGCCGAACTAGGCGCGGCAGGCAGTGAGAGGGGAGAGGAGCGCGCGGGGGAGTCCAAGGTCCACACACGCACTGGGGACAGATCGCAAGGCCTCTGCGGCGGGCAGGACATTGGAGACTCGCGTCGGCAAATCGCCGCGACAGGCGCATGCCAATGAACGGATGCTGGCGTGCCCGGAGGCTGCAAGCGGAACCGTTCGGAAGGGCCAGCAGGACCGCCGCGATGCTGAGGCGACCACGAGGGCTCTCTCTGGCACCGCTCGCGAGGGTGGTCGCGGGCCTCTCGCAGGGACCTCTCGGTGGTGTCTACACAGCAGCTGCCCAAATAGATGACAGCCGAAGTCACTTGTGTGGCTCTGGCGAAGAGGCGCTCCTTAAGCGGAACCCGCCGCATGGGATGCTTCTTTTTTGAGGACGACTATGTCAAGGAATGGCCAAATGTTAACAGTACTACTGCCACCATCTCTTCTACTGCGACTACGACTACGACGACAGCCTACTACTACGACTACCACGACAACTACGATTACTGCGCCTGCCACCACTACAGCTACTACTTCTCCTACTACTACTACTACTACCACTACTACTACTACTACTACTACTACTACTACTACTACTACTACTGCTGCTGCGACTACGACTAGTACTAAAACGAAGACTACTACTACTATTACGACTACGACTACGACTACGACTACGACTACGGCTACGTCTGCTATTCTTACTATCATTAGTACTACTACTGCTGCTGCTACTACTACTAGTACAACTACGGCTACTACTACTACTACTACTACTACTACTACTACTACTACTACGACTGCTGCTACTACTGTTTCTACTACTACTACTACTACTACTACTACTACTACTTACACTACTACTAATACTACTACTACTACTACACTACTACACTACTACTACTACTGCTACTACTACTACTACTACTACGACTACGACTACTACGACTACTACGACTACTACTACTACTACTACTACGACGACGACGACGACGACGACGACTACTACTACTACTACTACTACTACTACTACTACTACGACTACTCCTACTACGACTGCTACTACGACTGCAACGACTAATACTACTACTACGACTACTACTACTACTACTACTACTACTACTACTACTACTACTACTACTACTACGACTACTAGACAGACTGCGGCTTCTACTACTGCTACGACTACCACCATCACCCCTACTACAACTACTACTGCTACAACTACTACTACTGCAACTGCTACTACTACTAATACTACTACAACGGCTGCTACGTCTACTATTGCGACTCCTCCGGCTACTACGGCCACTACGACTAGTAGTAGTAGAAGTAGTAGTAGTAGTAGTCGAACTACTACTACTGTTACTAGTACTAGTACTAGTACTAGTACTAGTACTAGTACTAGTACTAGTACTACTACTACTACTACTACTACTACTACTACTACTAGTAGTACAACGACGACGACGACTACTACTACTACTACTGCTACTACTACTACTACTACTTCTACTAATACTACTACTGCTGCTACGAGTAAGACTCCGACTACGACGACGACTACTACTAGTACTACTACTGCTACAACTACGACTACTACTACTTTTGCCACTGCGACTATTACTTCTACTTCTACCACTACTGCTGCTACTACTACTACTACTACTACTCCTACTACGACAACGCCTACGACTACGACTACGAATTCGATTACTACGACCCGTGGTAGAGGCGGTAGAGGTGGTGGTGGTGGTAGTAGTAGTCCCACATTTACTACCACTACTACATTCCATACTACCACGTGCCACAGGCCAACGCCACTACCATTGCCACCATCGCGGCAATTGTATACCCCGCCGCTGCCTACGGGTACCACTGCTGCTGCTGCTGCCCCTGCTACCCCTCCTCCTCCACCTGCTGCTGCTGCAGCATCGACGGCGGCGAAAGACAACTACTACACTGCCCTATCACCACTACTACGACCACTACAATTGCTGCGTCTACTACAAATACTTCTACTACCACTGCTACCACTACTACCACTGCTACTACTACTTCTACTACTACCACTACTACGATGACTACTACTACTACTACTACTACTACTACTACTACTACTACTACTACTACTACTACTACTACTACTACTACTACTACTACCACTACGACTACTACTACTACTGCTACTACTACTACTACTACTACTACTACTACTACTACTACTACTACTACTACTACTACTACTAATGCCAATATTAGTGTTACCAACGCTACTGCTGTTACTACTAGTACTACTGCTACTACGACCTCTACTACAACTACTGCTGCTACTACGGCGCAAACTAGTACTACCATTACTGCTACTCCTGCTACGACGACTACTACTTCTAAAAATACCAAGCCGACTGCGACTACTACGGCTACGGCTTCTGCGACTCACTGCTGCTACTGCGACGGCTACTACGACATAGCGGCTACGACTACTACCACAACGACTACTACTGCCACTGCCACGTCTACTACTTCTACTGGTACTACTACTACTACCAAGACTCTGGCGACGACTAGCACTACTACTAGTACTACCACGACGATGTCTACGACAAATACGACGACGTCAGCCTCGACCACTATTTCTTCTCATACGACTACGACGACGACTACGACTACTACTACTACTACTACTAATACTACTACTGCTTCCGCTACTACTATTGTTACCCCCGGTATCACTACGACCCTCAGTACCAATACGACTGCTGCTGGAATTGCTGCCTATTCCTACTCCTGTGCCTATTCGTACCCATCCTCCCAACACTACGACTACTAGTACAACTACAACAACGATTACTACTATTGCTACCGCGACCACTACTACGACCAATATTAATCATCGTATCGGATATCTAGTACTACTAGTACTACTACTACTGCCGCTACGAGTGCTACTACTACCACCACCACCACCGCCACCACCACCCTCACCACCACCACGACTACTACTACTACTACTACTACTACTACTACTACTACTAGCACTACTACTACTACTACTACTACTACTACTACTGCTACCACTGCTACTACTACTAGTACTACTACTACTACTACTACTACTACTACGACTACTACTACTACTAGTACTAGTACTAGTACTACTACCACTACTACTACTACTACTACTACTACTACTACTACTACTACTACTACTACTACTACTACTACTACTACTACTACTACTACTACTACTACGTACTACGACTACTACTACTAGTACTACTACTACTACTACGGCGACTACTACTACTACTACTACTACTACTGATACTGATACTGATACTCTGCTAATACAACAGCTGCTACTACTACTACTGCCACTACTACTACTACTACTACTACTACGACTACTACCAGTACTACTAATACTACTACTACTACTACTAGTACTACTATTACTACTACTACTACTACTGCTACTACTACTACTACTACTTCTACTACTACTACTACTACTACTACCATTACTACTGCTACGACTACCACTACTCATTATGATGCTACTACTATTACAACAACTACTACTAACATCACTACTACTACTACTACTACTACTACTACTACTACTACTACTACGACTACTACTACGACTACGACTACTACTACGACTACGACTACTACTACGACTACTACTACTACTACTACTGCTACTACTGGTACCCCTACTACTACTACTACTACTACTACTACTACTACTACTACTACTGCTACTACGACTACTACGCCTACCTACATACCTACCTGCCGACCGACCAAGCGACCTACCCACCGGAATACGTACCTACCTAGGTACTATTACTAATACTGCTACTGCTACTGCTACTACTACTACTACTACTACTACTACAAATATTGCTACTACTACTGTATTAAGACGGCGGATACTACGACGACAACGACGACTACTACTACGACGACTCCTAATACCAGTACGACTGATATTACTACTACGAATACTAATACTACTAAGTCTACGACTACGCTTACGGCTACGACTACGCCTACGCCTTCGCCTACTACTTCTACTACTACTGCTACTGCTGCTGCTACTGCTACTGCTACTGCTACTGCTACTGCTACTGCTACTGCTACTACTACTACTACTACTACTACTACTACTACCATTACGGCTACCACTAGCACGGCCACCGTCCACAACCGCAACAATTGTCCCTACGCACATCTACTCCCCACCCTTGCCCTCTTCGCATCCATTCGCGCAACCACAAAACACGGGCGGGTCGGCCTGCACGTTCCCGTGAGGGGTTATCCGCTCCACAGCGCGCCGCGCCAGAGCGGCGACTTCCTGAGGCGCGAAGCGGGTCGCAAAACATTTGCAGCGCTGCGCCTGTTCCGACACACCAATGCAGGAAGAGGCCTGCGAGGAGGGCCCCCTCAAGCCCCCTCCCTCCCTGAAGAGAAGCTGCGAAGCTGGGCCCAAGTGCCCGAGCCACCTCCCAACGAGTGAGGGCTGCTAGGCTCTGTCCTTCATCCTTCCATCCCACACTCCGAGCCGCTGCGGAACGGAACGGTGTAAGAGGGGGAAGGCTGCGCGCCTACACATATACACTGATCCCCCACACATATACACATGTGTGCACATGGATGTGTATACAGATGCATATATCCATGTACGCATGCCTTGATTAATCGATCCATGCATCCCGATGTCCGCCTACATGTCGACACATATTGTATATGCATACACATGTTCGATATGTAGCTGTACCAGCATACCAAAGCATCGATCCATCGATCGCTCTACACATATATCTCTGCATCCCGCATCGACCTGTGTAACCCACATAATGGGAAACAACTGCCCAATCGCCCATCGTACGAACTTGCTCGCCAATCGCACGAACGAATTCGATTCGTAATGCGCACGCAACAAAGAGTAGACCCGACATTCAAAAGTCTCCGATTGCGAAGTCGCACGGGCGAGTTTCAACCGCCACCTGTGCAATAGGGGGCAGCGTGCAATCGCTCGCACAGAAAGCACCTTGCAAAACCACCAACACCTCCCCTTGTACCTCGCGCGGTCGAATTCGCTGCGCCATTTCTCCACGCACATTTGTTCGCGGTAAAACCGCCCTTTCCATTTTGGGCGTGCCGAGCGCGAGAGGGCAACTCCCGCTGCCCCCGCAGCGCCGTGTGCCGGGGGCGCCCCCCAGCCTGCGTCCGACCGACCGACCCTTCTGCCCCCCCCCCCCCCTTCCCCCCTTAGAGGGGTACTTGCTGACCTCCTACAAGGCCCTCCCCACTCCCCCCACCTCCCCCGAAGAGGGGGGCGCGGGTAGCGGTTGCCCCCCCGCGCCCTGCGCGACCAGAATGCATGGGAGGAGATTGTGGTGGGCAGTGGTTGCTCTCCCGTCCTCTCTCTTGCGCTATGAGCATGTCAGCCCGTGTATCTCCCATATGTGTATATATATACACATATAGACGTTGACCAGCTGACGTGACCTCTCTATACATTTCCACAGTCATCGAAATATGCAAATATATGTGTGTACATGTTGGTATGGATTCAACGGTATAGGCATGAATGCACATTATAGGCATGCCAATGCGTATTTACCCCATACACCGATGCATCTATCCATCGAACATGGAACAATGTACTTATATATATGTGCGTGTACCGTCCCGTAAACCCATGCGTACATGTAAACATCAGCACGTCGGTTCATCTATCTGGAATACGCATGTGTACATGTATAGGTACCTATATATATATACACACCTATCGATATTTCGATGGCCTGTCTCTCGTTCTATCCATTTGTCTGTCTAGTTAGCTGTCGTTGTAACCCACGCGGCAGGACGCAACTGGTAAATCGCCGACACAAAGCATTTTGAATGAACATGCACAAACATATGAAAGTTGCAATGCGCGCACAACAATACATACGCACTTCCTCCATACAACGGTCCGGTGGTAGAGTCGCACGAAAGAATGTCACTTGAAACCCGTACGGCAGGGATCAACCTGTGAATCTCGAATTGGCAGAAATTCATTGCGACACCACAGAACAAAACACATATAACTGCAATCAACGCGCCTGGATTCACAATAGAATCCACCGCGAAATCAATGGCACTGCAATGCCACGCAGAAGGGGGCCAGGCCGGAGGCCACCATTCTATTGAAGCGAGTGCGGTGGCAGTCTCGAATGGGTTAGAGTCAGGCGAGGACTCGCTGCAACTGACTGCAAGGACAATCGAGTATGCAGCTCGCCAGAGTATCCCGCTGGAGGCAGACAACGCGGGGAGGGGTAACGCTGGCGCTCCGTGGACGTCGTAGCACCGCGCACGAAGGGGAAGATCAGCGGAGGGGCGAAGCACGTGTAGTACTCGTGAGCCCCAGAGCAGCTAGCCCTTGCCGCGGGAATCGGGCAGAATGAAGCGAGTCAAAAACCATTGATAGAACCGTGCACGAGAGAGCGCCCGATCGAAACAAGACCACTGCATGCCGAAGAGCCGCATGAATCACTGAGTGTGTGGGCCCCGTATGTTCCACCAACCGAGACGCCAGCGCACGAGAATCAACATACCAAACGGCTTACAACATCGCCCGCGATGCGAGCGCAACGGTGCACGTCGCCCGGCTTGCAACGCGGCATGGCCCCACACGAGGGCCTGCTTTCGAATTGCCTGGGGCCCGTGCCCGTATCGCCCCCGCGATCCCCTCCTCTTGCCTCCTCCTGCTCCTGCTTCCCTGTCGCCGCCTCCTCCTCCTCCTCCTCATGCTCCTCCAACTCCTCCTCCTCCTCCTCCTCCTCCTCCCTCCTCCTCCTCCTCCTCCTCCTCCTCTCCTCCTCCTCCTTCATCCTCCGCCCCCACGCCCTCCTCTCCTCCCCCCACATGCCCCCCCCCCTCCCCCTCCTCCCCTCCTCTCCTCCTCCGCCTCTCCCTCCCTCCCCTCCTCCTCCTCCTCCTCCTCCTCCTCCTTCTCAGCCTCTCCTCCTCCTTCTTCTCAAGTATCTCTCCCCTTCCCCTCACCATTGACCTTCCCTCTGCACTCTATTCCCCCCCCCCTCCTCCCCCCCGGCCCACCCGAATAAATCATTGTGACGAATGTGTCCGTGTTCCCTCTCTCACTGCCGCACGCGCCATTGTGTCTAAGGGAAGTCAGTGCTACATCAGCTCTCGCCAGCCCCGCGGCCTGGAGACAGGCATCTCTGATGGCACAAAGGGAAGCCGACCGCGCCATCTACTCGGGGGCCGCACGGAGACGCCGGGTTAATCACGGACATCGAGTAGATCGTTCAACCTTGAACGTCTGCGGCTTTCCGCTCGCCAGATCGTTCCATGATTGCCGACTCTGGGCCACTGGCGGCGTTCTTTCTTAACCTTAAAGGCCCGCGCTGTGGTCGCAGCCGCAACGGTACGACACGAACCAACCGTACATGATGCGGAAAACAGCGCGCGGTGGCCTGTTCCGTTTTCGGCGGTGTGCCACCCCGAACCTCAGCGGGCTTCGAGCAGCAGCCAACAGAATAATTCAAGGATCGCACGTGTCGCACGTCCGCGCCCACACCATCAGACTCATGTGCAATATGGCATCGGAACAACATTTCAGCTTGAAACATCGTGGCAGTAACTCAAGTTAAATATCCAAAATATAGGATCTCGGTGCTGGCGCACAAAGTACGGGACAATAATGTCTTGAGAATCCAGGCACGGCACAATGGTGGCACGATCATGCCACTGGAACGAGACATTCCACTCATGTCGAGCTCACGCGTCGCAATCCCAGGCACATGTCGTCGCGCTCTTCTCCTCCCCTTGTCCTCACACCCGTTGGACAACACCCAAGTGAGGCCTGACGTGCAGCCTGGAACGGGACGGACTTGGGAGAAGCCAGGAAAGGCGGATGACACGCGACGGGAGAGACAGGACCTCTCTGAGAGCCACGTGGGCCCAGGCATGCGGAGGACATGGGAAAAGAAACGCAGGACACAAGAGCACCCTTGTCCTGGAGATCTCGCACGACCACGAAGGCTTGAACTGGGAAGGAAGGACCGGAGGAGGGATTGGGCACGCAGGTGAGGAGACGGGAGCGAGGGAGCGGTAGCCATCTGCATCGAAACGAATGCACCCTCAAATCGCCTCAGGGGTAGGGGACTGGAGCGAGGGAACCGTAGCCACCTGCAAAGATACGAACCGATGGTAAGGCCGTGTCCGAACCGGCGGAGTGCAGAAAAGATGTGAGATGGGGGAGGAGGTGAAAGACTTGAGAGAGAGAAAGAGGGAGAGATCTAGATGCAAAACTTGTTGGTCTGCTGGGGTCGAGAGCGAGCCTCTTCCGGTTAAGAGCTGGGCGGGCCGCGCGAAGCACTAATTGGGGAGTGTTGTTTTTTTTGTGTTTTTGTTATTAGTAGTATTATTTTATTATTATTATTAGTATTAAGTGTATATATATATATATATATATATATATTAATATAAAAAACGCGCGCTGCCCGTTCGTGTCAGCGTGGGACCGCGCCGGCTCCCTGCCAGATGCGCGCTTTTTCCGGGCGCAGCCCGCGCCGTCCGGTGTACGGAAGCGCGCGATGGGCATCCGAGGGGGCCCGGGCGCAGTCCGTACAGGGCAGTTGTTTGATACATAGGACTTTGCACTTAGGATTATTAACACATGATTCATTTATGAATACATGTATGCATGAGCTCATCGTTGTTTTTAGTACCAAATTCCTGCATGTTAATACATGATCCGCACGCGGAGCATGCATTGAACACGGCACTGTAGACCTTGCGGCTCCGCCCACCCCTGTCTGGCGCTTACTCGTTATTGCTCTTGTTGCCCCGGAGCCTGTTCACACACGAAGTTCCGACTACTCCAGATTTCGTAATAAAAGGGAGGGGGTCTGGACCCTCCAAGACAAGCCATTTCAGACCCCCCCCGTGGGAGAACCCTCCAAAACATCGTCCCCAGACCCCCCCAGGCCCTCCAAGATAGCCTGGGAGAGACCCCCCCCCCGAAATGAGACCCCCCTCCCTTTATTACGAAATCTGGAATATTCACTTGAATGCAGCGCGGTGATGTTCGCCCGATCTCCTCCCGTCATCTCGGGCAGGCCGCCCCAGCCCGACCTCTCTGTTGTTGGGGCACAGGCGCCCATACAGGTAGTCTGTGCCGGTAGATGATTCGTTTCCTAGGTATACAGGTAGTCTGTGGTAGTATAGGTATACAGGTAGTCTGGGGTAGTCTGGTGGTGGTATATGGTATGGGTAGTCTGTGGTGGTATACAGGTAGTCTGATGTTTTGGCACAGGCGCGTATATGCTTCGTTTCCTTTCACTCACCCCGTGTTCAATCCTCTTCCTGCGCGTGCGCGCTGATTCTGCACGCAGCTGTCAAATGTTGCAGACGCTGCAACATGGTAAATTACGCATGGACACATCCCACTGGATGACACACATAAGAGTACGTATGATACCGGAGAAAAACCCAATCAGGGCTATAGGGCTAGTGGGCTATAGGGCTATTGAGCTATAGGGCTATAGAGTTGTAGGGCAATCGGGCTATAAGGCTATAGGGCTTAAGGCTACAGGGCTATAGGGCAGCCCCGGGCACCCCTGGGCACGCCCGGGCACCCGGGCACCCCCGGGCACCCGGGTACCCGGGCGTGCAGCGAAAATCGGCGACAAACCGAACCTGACCATATGAATCCGCTAGGACCCCTACAGAGGCAAGCTCTGATTGGGGAATACACGTTCACAAATGAATGCGTTGACGTACACACGTACTCGCGCTTCTCAAGGACACATACATGCGCTGTGTTGAGCTGGCGCCCATGGGACTCATCATGCTGCTACCATTATGTCGAAGCAGGTGGGCACCAACTAAGCTCTGCACTCGATGACCTCATCGGGCTCTCGAGAAGTCAGAGCGTCCCCGACAGCTACCTGCCAGAAGAGCGGAAGAGAGCAAAACCCTGTCGAGAACCCTCAATACCCCCTGTACAACTCAGACGCAACTAAAGCGAAGCCAACGTCTCCAACAACAACACTTTGATCAAACCCTGCTTAACGTATATGCTTCTACTGCGCCCGCGATGCAACACCCCGCTCCTGCCGGGCAAAGACGAAGCAGGCTCGGTGCAGGTGCAACCCACAAGACATCCCAAATACGTATCCCTCATACTTCGCCTCAGTCACCGCGAAGGGGCACGGAATGAATCACAACTGTGGGAATTTCGATTTTTCTGGTTGCGCCGGGCCAATGGAGACACTGCCCAATCGCAGCTACTGACCTCGTCGGTACATGGCAGGCCAATTCTTGATGTAGCAGGCAAGACGCAGCATGACTGCGGTGCGGGTGGGGATGCACAGAACAAACAACGAGAAATTGGATCGCCTCGAACGCCCATATATCCTGCAAAGCGCCGGAACATCATGCGAGAGGCTCCACGAAACGAGTGAAGATACGGCACAGAGAAGATGAAGTCATGCTGAAACACCACGTAGGACCACAAGCATCATGAGTTCGGAGTGGGCTCGCCCTAGACCGATGCCCACGCGGCGGGCATCCTCGGTCACATCTCAGAAGAGACAATCGGAGCCACCTCTCCGCGGAGTGCACCCGCCACAGCACACAGAGGGCAACCGCCAGCTGCAGGACGGCACGACTGCGCCGCATCGCTTGGGCGTTGTCTAGATCGACGAGCGCATCCCACTAATCTCGCAAAGTGACTACTCGCAAATGGCCTGGATCCTCGGCGCAGGATCTACGATATTTTGTTTTGTTGTTCGGGATCGTTCGGATCTCCCCAGAATGTCACCTGGGTCAGCTGGCTTGTTGATGATGACCTTGTCGACATTCTCGCGGCTTGTCTCGCGGAGACTGAGGAGGAGGAGGAGAGGGAGGAGGAGGAGGGGGAGGAGGAGGAGGAGGAGGAGGAGGGGAGGAGGGAGGAGGAGGGGGGAGAGGAGGAGGAGGAGGAGGGAGGAGGAGGAGGAGGAGGAGGGAGAGGAGGAGGAGAGGGACGAGGAGGGGGTGGAGGAGGCGGAGTGGGGGGAGTGGGGGAGGAGTGGGAGGAGGAGGAGGAGGAGGAGGAGGAGGAGGAAGGGAGGAGGAGGAGGAGGAGGAGGAGGAGGAGGAGGAGGAGGATGAGGAGGAGGAGGAGGAGGAGGGAGGAGGAGGAGGAGGAGAGGAGGAGGAGGAGGAGGACGGAGGAGGGGGGGAGGGGAGGAGGAGGAGGAGGGGAGGAGGAGGAGGAGGAGAAGGGGAGGAGGAGGAGGAGGAGGAGGAGGAGGCGGAGGAGGAGGAGGAGCGAGGAGGAGGAAAGGGAGAGGAGGAGGAGGAGGAGGAGGAGGAGGAGGAGGAGGAGGAGGAGGAGGAGGAGGGGAGGAGGAGGAGGAGGAGGAGGAGGAGGAAGAGGGAGGATCTACGATCAAGTACACAAAAAAAGCCCGACGCACGGCTCTCGGACGCCGCCGCGCACCGCCCCCTCCCGGGAGGAGGGCACGCCGGTCACCGCCACGCCTGCCCTCGCTCCGCCCCCGCCGCTCGGGCGGGACTTCATTGGGGGGGTCACACACGGGGGGATGAGAAAAGGTCCCCTTTCGTGCCCCTTCCTCGGGTCGGGCGAAAGGGGGGGGTAGCAAAGGGGGGGGTTGAGAATCAGCTCACGTAGCTGAGTTTCTCCCGGCGCCTCCCTCCCGGCGCGGGAGGCGGCATGTATCAAGGAATGGACCCTCGGCGGGGCCGAAACCAGCTGCATGCAGCAGATTTCGTAACCCCCCTTTCCCAATCCCCCCCTTTCGCCCGGCCCGACTTTCGGGCCTCTCCAGAGCCCCAAGGGGCTCGTTTAGGTGCCGTTTGGGTACCCTTTCGAATCACCCTCGCCACCCCCCCCATTTCTGACCCCCCGCATGACGCTCCGCCCCCACCGCGCCGACCGCGCCGACCGCGCCGGGTGGCGAAACCCTCGCCCGCCTCCGCTTTTGTGCAGCCCTCCCTCTCGCCTCGGGGCATGGGCCCTCCTCCGCCTCGGGGCCTCCCCCGCCGGTCGTCGCCCACCCCGACCGTCGGTCCTCTGAGAGACGGGGCCAGGGCGAGGAGGAACTCGAGGATCCCTGGGGTCTCCGGCGGCTCTGCAGGGCGTCTCGGGCCCCGCGGCCTGCTCTCTCTCCGAGTGTCCTGGGACGCTCCGAGAGCGCTCCGGAATGCCCAGGAACGGATTCGTCGTCGTCTCGACTTGCTCTGGCCCTCGACTTGCCCGGTCCGACTCGACGTCGTCGTCGTCGTCGTCGTCGACTTGCCCAGGAACGGATTCGTTCGTCGTCGTCGTCGTCTCGACTTGCCCGGTCCGACTTGCTCTGGCCCCGCCCCGAGCAGGGCGGCGACCCTCACGCGCCTCGGGGTGCGGGGGCTGCCTGCCAGTCACCGCCAAGGGCGCCCAACCTCGCGCTCCCGCGCCGCCCCAGCAAGGGAGAGGAGGAGGACGAGGAGGATTCGGAGCCGAACCGCGAAGCGCGAATAGCTTCGCGCTCTCGTGGGCGCCCTTGCTCATCCGCCTCGGGGCTTCCCGTCCGGCAATCGCCCACCCCGACCTGGCCCCTCTCGCCACGAGGGAACCTTCGGGGATCTTCTGACCCGGGTCAATCTAGACCTGGGTCAGTCAGGCCCCGCAGAATCCTGCAAAATCCTGCAAGATCCTGCACCCCAACCCGGGTCAGTGCGAAGGATCCTGCAGGATCCTGCAGGATCCTGCACTCAGACCCAGGTCAGTGCGCCCCTCGCCCTGCAGGATCCTGCAAGAGCGGGCGCTCTGGCTGACCCCCGTTTGCGTTGACCCCCGTCTCACTTTGGAGTCCCGAAACGGGGCGGTGACAGACCGTGCGGTGACCTCGACATCCCCCGAGACCTCACCGCTGGGTCTGTCAGCGCACGGCCTTGGGACCTCGGATGCCCCAGTCGCCCGAGACGACCCCGGAGAACGACCCGAGAATCCCCACCGACTCACCACGCGGTGTGGTCACCGCCCCGCTTGCGCTGACCCCCGTCTCGCGGCTCCCGAGGCTTGCAGCCCGAGCCTCGCTCCGGGAGCGGCCGCGGGCGCCGCCCCGAGAGGTGCCCTCACTGCCCCCGCGGGCTCGCGGGGGCGCCCCGGCGTCCCCGGGGGAGCCTTGCCGGACGCGCGTCGCGGAGGAGCGGCGGAGGGGAGGAGCACCCAGGGAGCGAGGAGGGGAGCGTCAGCAGACATCGAGGTCGGGCGGCGAGCGAGGGGGGGAAGCGAGACGGAGAAGGCCTTCTCAGACGGCTCGGAAGTCCCTGGGCCTTCTGAGAAGTCTCCTGAGCCTTACCCGAAGACGCGAACAAATACCGCTCAGAGGGTGCGAGGGCCTCTGGGAAGTCCCGCCGCCTTCCGAGAAGGCCTTCTCGTCCCCCCCCTCGCTCGCCGCCGAGAGGAGCAGGGGCAACGGGGGGCGAGCAGAGGTGTCGGGTGCAGGGCAAGGGAGGGGCAAGGGCAGCCGAATATGGCCATCTGCCCGGCGGCAGGACGTGCCGAGCAGCTGCTCAGGTCGGCCCGAACCTCCAACACTTCCTGGCAGAGGCTCAGCTCGTCCGCCAAGCTTCTCAAGCGTGCGACCCCCTGGCCGGCGCCTGAGTTTTGACTAGCTGCTACTGGTTCAAGGATGCACTCTGGATAGAGGGCAGGTTTTAATACAAATATGGTTTTAAACATACAGGAATTCTAGTTTATGCTTAATATATGAGTAAATGTATGCATGAACTCATCGTTGTTTTTCATACTACGTCACTGCATATGTAATACATGCTCCGCACGCGGAGCATGTGTCAACAAAAAAACGGCACTGTAGCTGTTACCGGTTCAAGGATGCACTCTGGGTAGGACTGCGTGGTAGACACGGGGGAAGCAGCGCGCACAGTCCAGTCCTGGTAGGAGCGCACCTCCTCTAGCCTCTGGTCGTTGGACATCAGCTTCGTCAGCCGATTAACTGCACCCAATCAAGACAAACGACAGACGCAAACTATGCATCCTTACCATGCCATTCTCCAGTCTCACGTGACCTTACGACTTAGCCGAATAATTGCGTACAACGCCAAGACAAACGAGAGAACTGGTCTGGCCTAAACCTCAACATGCAGCGCCACTCTGTCATAACATGTTCATTTCAATTCATACTTTCGTCAAACATGCTCCGCAATCCCATCCATTCTTTCGGTGTAAGTGGCTTCACGAATTGATTCTGCATTCCCCCCCTCCGGGGAGGGGGTTAGCACTGTTCCTTGCGCGATCACCATGCGGCACGTTGCGGCAAAACCTTGACCATGCGCGGGCGCCCCGAAATCACCGATGATTGTGGATTGCGGTCGCTGCCCATGCTGAGACTCGGGTGCTACCTCTGCCTTTTGGAGGGCGGGTTTGAGTAAGCGAGACGGCCGTCCCTCGTGAGAGGGGTAGCGTTTCACTCCTCGCTCTACCCCCTCCGCTGCGCCGGCAGGGAGGGGGGGGGCGAGCGATCAGAGCGAACACGTGGGCCCAAGACGGCTCCAAGAGAACCTCGAATAGCCCAAGATGGCTCAAGCTTATCCTGCCGAAAGACCTAGCCATATAAAAAAGTGAACAGCGCGTTACGGGAACCGCTTTCGGTGGAGCTCCCTGTGGGACCACGAAATGCGTGAGGGGTGTACCGGCATGGGCGGGGGGACACAGTCGGACCATGCCAATAGGGCCTCGTGTGGAGCTCCCTATGGGGCCACGAAGCGTGTGAAGGATGTGCTAAAATGGATCCTGGTGGGTGCCACAAAACGTGTGAGGGCTGTGCCGACATGGATGGGGACCCGCACGTGAACTGTGCCACTGGACCTTTGGTCCTTTGGTGAGAAAACCCTATGACATAGCCTATGAGGCACCGAAGCGTGTGAGTGGTGTGACGACAGGGGTGGAGAACCGCGTGTGGACTGTGCCACTGGGGCCTTCGGTGGAGGTCCTCACGGGCAACGAAACGATTAAGGTGTGCTGAAACGGTTGGGTAACCGCACGTGGCGTACCACTGGGGCCGTTGGTGGGCCCTCCCATGGGACCATGAAACACGTGAGGGGTGTGCCGAAATGGCTGGGAATCGCGTGTGCCACTGGGGCCTCGGTTGGATGTCCCTATGGGGCAACCGAGCGTGCGAGGGGTGCGCGGGAATGGGTGAGAGGCCGCATATGGACTCTGCCACTAGGCCCGTCGGTGCAACTCCCTTTGGGGCTACGAGACGTGCGAGGGGTCTGCCGAAGTGGGTGGGGAACCGCATGCGGACCCTGCCACTGGGGCCTTCGGTGGTCGTCCCAGTGTGGCCATGGAACGTATCACGGGTGTGCCGAACTGCGTGTGGAATCGCATGTGGACTGTGCCTGTGGGGCCTTCGGTGGAGTCCACTATGGGCCGCGAAGCGTTTACGCGGCGTGCCGGAAGAAGCGTTTGGAGGGTGCGTGTGAAGCGTGGGGGCAAGAAGCGTGTGAATGGGCGCGCCGACATGGGTGGGAAGCCGCATGTGGACTGTGTCACTGGACCATTCTGGGGGGTCCCTTTGGGTGCCACGACACATGTGGAGGGTGTGCCGAAATTTGTGGAAAACCGCGTGATGACTGTGCCACTAGGGCCTTCAGTGGAGCTCTTGCCGAATGGATGGGGACCGCATGGGGACCCTGCCACTGGGGCCTCAGGTGCGGCCCTCTATGAGGCTACGGAACCTGTGTGTACCGAAATGGGTGGGGTACCGCTCGTAGACCCTGCCCCGGGGGGCCGTCAGTGGAGCTCCCTATGGGTCCACGAAATGTGCGAGGGGTGTGCCACGTAAAACGCGGGGGGGGCGAGAGTCAATATGGGCGGGAAACCGCATGTGGACCCTCCCACTGGGGCCTATGGGACCGCGAAATGTGCGAGGAGTCTCCCGAAGTGCGTGGGGATCCGCGTGTGGACTGTGACACTGGGACCTCGGGTGGGGGTCACCATGGGGCCACGAAACGTGCGTTGGGTGTGCCAAAGTGGATGGGGAACTGCATGTGGACCCTGCCGCTGGGGTCTGCGGTGGTCGTTCCTGTGGTCATGGAGCGCATCACGGGTGTGCCGAACTGCGTGGAAATGCATGTGGACTGTGCCTCTGGGGCCTTCGGTAGAGCTAGGTGGAGCTCCCAATCGGGCCACGAAACGTGTGAGGGGTGTGCCAACATGGAAATGCAGAGGGCAGAAGCAGGGATGGGAGGAGGGATGAGCGGGAGGAGGAAACGGGAGGGAAGGACGCAGGGCGCTGCCTCTTCAAAACGAGCACCCAACACCACAGGATGGTTGGGACAAATCTGCCGATCTGGCGTGTGAGTTTGAAAAAGTCTCAGCTACAGCCTACAGCCTAGAGCCTGAGCTTCAGGTCTGCTGGGGGGGGCCGGGGGACTCTGCCAGGGAAGTGGGGGAGGGGGAGGGGGACGAATTGTGGTCCGCTTTCCGGGGGGTCTTTTCCGGGCCCAAGAAGGCCCCAAGACGGGCCAAGAAAGCCTCAAGACACCCCAAGACGGCCCCAGAAGCCCCCGAGACACCCAAAGAGAGCTCCAAGACGCCGAATATGACCTCCAGACGGCCCAAGAGGCCGCCGAGACGCTCCAAGAAACCTCCAAGAGCCCTCAGACGAGGACCCTTAGAGGCCAAAATCATCCATGTTACGATGGTTTTGGAAGGAGTCTAGCCTTCCCGCCTTTTCGGCTTCCCGACGCTCCAAGACGGCCCCAGAGGCCCCCAAGATCGCCCCAAAACGGCACATGAGGCTCCCAAAATGGCCCCAAGACGGCCCAAGAGAGCCCCAATATTGCCCAAGAACCCTCCAAGACGGCCCCACCCAGAGGCTCTCAAAACGGCTCCAAGAGGGAAGCCAGACGGGGAACCCGAACGGAAGTTTGGAGCCCTCGGCCTCCAGAAGCCCCCAAGAAAAGAGGCCCCAAGAGGCCCCCAAGAGGCCCCCAAGAGGGTCCCAAGAGGCCCAAGAAAGAGGCCCCTAGCAGGACCCAAGAGGCCCAGAAGAGGCCCCCAGGATGCCAGGCCCCACAACGGCCCCCAGGATGCCTCAAAAGTGTACCCATGAGGCCCCCGAAAGACCTAACAATAGCATCAAAAGCGCCAGAGGCCACTACAATATGATGGAATGTTTCCCCGCGAGGCGGGCCAGCCGCAGGGTAGGTGGATACAGAAAAGCCCACGGATTTTCACTGGGAATTCGCTGGGAGGGGTGGGGGCGAAAAGCCTCTCGACCCCCTTGTGACCTCCTAGACCACGATTGCATGTGGCCAGTGCTGGCAATACTGTATCATGGGAACGATGATGGGCGCCCAATCATGACGAAGCGGGCTCGCGGCGAATCCGGACCCAGGTCTGGCCATTGCAGGCTGCATCCGACTAGAGAACCTCGCGGGAGAAAACAACACAACAACGATCTGTGTGCCACTGGTCTGCACAGAAACGATACGGATCCATCTGCTGCCCCCTTGCGACGCCTCGCGAGGGGACCAGGAGACGTATCCTCATCCCCGTGGCTTCCCACTCGCTGCGCATGCACAGCTCCGTCCCTGCTCTGCCGTCCTCCACCGGGGCAGAATTCAGTTGCCTTTTTAAGCCAGCTGGAGCCGCAGACGAGCTCTCCAAATACGACTCTCCTCGACTGCCGTGGGAAGGACGAGCTCGAAGACGCGGTGGGTTCGCCTGATGGTGGCAAGGAAGGCCCGGCCAGGGCGAGGCCGCGCCGAGACTCCTGCCTCCCCCCCCCCCCCTCCCCAGGAGGAGGGGGAGGGGCAAGAGCGAGAGCGGGAGGAGAAGGATCGGGAAGAGGGACGAGCGCCGTACAGGGGCGAGCAGGCAGAGTCCGAGATTCTGAGCAACGGAAGCTGGAGCGAGGGCGGTCGGCAAGTACGACGATAATCGGAGCCGACAGCCCCGCGAGATGACTCTGCATTCCCCGCCGGTGCGGTCTCAGGGCGTGCGGATCTCTATGCTCCTCCCCTTCTTCTCGTTTTGATCGGGCCCCTGAGTTCCCAACGAGCATTTTCGGGGCCACGACTTCGTCGGAGGCCCAGGGTCGACCTGGCCTGGGCAAGTGACCTTGAATGATCACATTTGTACTGTTTCGTCTGCTTGCCCCTCCCCATCTCGTCCTCTTGCTTGATTCTAGCCCGTATCCTCCGCCGTCCTTCTCCTCCTCCTCCAGCCCCCCCTCCTCAGGTAGCCCACTCAATCACCCTCGCCCTTTCATATTCCGACCTCCACGGTGCTGCTAGTCTTGTTTCAGCTTTACTCCCGCATCGTCGTCCCTCCTCATTGCTTACTCTATCATCATGCTCCTTCCTCCGACGCAGTCCACTCTCCCTCCCCCTGGGAGCACATCTGCATTGCCCCACCCAAGATTGTGGATAGAAGAGGAGGGTGGGCGGAAAGGATGGCGGGATGAGGGGAGGACCCGTGGGACGACGACGAGGATGATGCAGACGTTCCACCTGTCTCACGCGTTGTGCAGCCAGAAGTATTGACATCGAGAATCTTGGCTGAGTGAAAAGAAGGAAAAAAAAGAAAGAGAGAGAGAGAGAGAGAGAGAGAACAAAGAAGAAAGAAAAAGAGAGCGCGCGGTTCAAAGGAGCTTGGGTGTGCAACATTCGTCGACACGTTTACATTCGCCCCTCCCAGCACGTCGAACCGCCCCGCCCGTAAAACCACCCACCACCTCCCGCGCAAACGGAAGGGTCGTCGTCGTCGTGGTCGTCACCGCTTGCCGGCGCCAGCGTCGTCGTCGTCGTCAAATTTGCAGGCGCCAGAGGGGAGGTTTGGACCCCACCCCACGTGGCACCTGCAAACGACGACGACGACTACGACAACGACGACGACTACGACGACAACAACGACCGGCGCCAAGAAAAAGGGGAGGAAAAATAAACCCCTCACCTTGGCGCCGGCAAACGACATCGCTGACGACGACGCTCCGCGCCAAGGGGGGGTTCTGAACTCCCCATGCAGGGTGCTGGGAGCCCCCCTGTTCAGGGGGGGTCCAACCGGTTTCCGAACGTCTGGGATGTTTGGGGGGCGGACCCCATCAAGCGACCACAGAACGCAAACCGTCTGATCTCACGAACGAGGAACAGCGTGCGAACGATCATCTGGCATGAGAGAACTCTTGCAAGGGAGGCGAATTTCGAGGCAAGGCTGCAGCGGCAGCCCCTTATCACAAATAGGTAACAACTCACACAAACCGATAGCAATGCATGACGGAGACGAGGAACACAAACCGAGGGCTGTTGACGAGTATGGGGCTGGACACAATAAACTATGCATCGATGGCAAAACAAACAGAGTAACGAGTCACCTTCGTACAACTTGTCCGCCAAATCTGCAAACGTACGGTCCTCTGGTCAACTGGCTGTGGCAAACCAACTTCACTCTGGAACATGATTGCGCGACCTGCCTCATCTCCACACACCATTAATGTGACCACTCTCAAAGAACCATCGTACGTATACATTCCAACATGGGGAAATATCATGAAGATGGCTCGGACCACTCAACGGCTGCCTCTTATGCATGGCGATGCCGGGTAGCACTAGACAAACCTCAGGCTCTCATGTGATGCCACTACATTCTGCTCAGCTGTGCCACATGATGCCACAATGTCTGATGTTGCCCTTGCTTCTGGGCAACGTTTTCAACAATGAACTCACACACACACTCACACACTCCACGTTCCTCGCCGCATGCCCAATGACGATAATCGACTCTATATGCAATCGCACTACAATCGTGCAATTTGTCTGAACTTAGAAGTATAAAATCTAGGTGTGAATCCACGTGAAATTTGCAGATTGCGCATTTCACATAAGCAGATGCCTGTATCGCAGTCGTATTGTCCTCTCCTTGGCAATCTGCACAGTGCGCCGAGCAGGTGGCTTTTCTGGGTACCTGAAGCCAAGAAGGGGGAGAGCCAACCGCTTGTCAAGACAATCCACAAACAATTGATCGCATCCTGAACTCACACGTGAGTTCCCTGCTCCGCAGCGTAACATCACAGCAAGTACATGCAGTAGGCGAAAGCTATCATACCAGTTCGAAACGTCGACGAGCGAATCCTGCAACAGCGATGACCAAAACAACGCTCTGTCTTGGAGCAGATGTGCTGAATGCGGACGTGTCCTGTGAAGTTCAAATTCTGGGCTAATTCGCTCCCGAATCTTGTTGAGGTGACAGGGGGTCCCGAAAGAGGCCCCCAGAAGGGCCAGTACGTTGGCTGACGTCCCAGTCCGAACGCATCCTCGAAAGGTGCTGTGACCGATTGCCTGAGCACGCATTCTGAGCTTGCTGAAATATGCAGCGCGACAACCAGAGAGGACCGAGAGGACTAGCACGGCCGTCAACAGAACGAGACACCAACACACCACGAGCTGCGCATCGCGTAAGGACGAGTGCAAGACACAACCAGGCTGCGAAGATCTGACGAGGAACTGGATTTCGACGACTGAGCTCGACTCGATGGTCTGACGTGCGGACCCAGACACGCATCACGCCCACTCTCTGCACTGACACCTCTCTGCAACACCTCGCTCGGTGCGTACAGCGAACCTGGACGCGCGATCAAATGATTCCGCCCAATGCCAGACCCTGGGAATCAAAAAACACAACCGCAACTCCTTGTGACATGAAACGAGGGATCGAGCGGAATCCCGGGGCCAGTCGCAAGTCTTCATTTGAACGAAATAGTCGCATACCACTCGACGGCACAGAATTCGTAGCATCTAGAAATTTCCTACGACCCGCTGACACTGACCTTTACTAAAACTGTCACTCAAAACCAACCGTTGGTACCGCACGTGTTTCTCACGTCGGGGTCCAAGGCTTCTGACTGCACGCTCATGTCCACTCCCAGAGGTGGCATAGAATTACCAAGGCCGGGCTGACGGCGATGTTGCTCAACGGTGATCTTGGAAAATTGAAGGGCATCACCACTCACACTCTCCTGCATTTCCGATATGCGAAAATATTTAGCGAAAACGGACGACACGGCGAAATGCAGAAAATTACAGGCTGCGCGGTCCCACACTTACGAAACCTACAGCGCTGTTACCTACATCGCCGTTAGCCCGTCTACTGAATCATCAACCTTAACCCTGAGGTCACTCAAGCGGCAAAACCGTCACGGTCATCTTGTGCGGCGGCTTCGGGACGGGGAGGGTGAGGTACCTGCCCGTGCGAGGCGGACTGGCGAGCAGTGAGTATGAGGTCGACAGGGGGCTGAAAGGAGGAGGGTGAAGGGAAGAGGATGGGAGGAGGCGGGGAAGGAAGGGGTAAGGAGGCAATGGAGGGAGTGGTGGGAGAGGCGGGCACGAGAGAGGGAATCTGGGGAGGAAGGCGGCGAGAGCCGAGAAGACGGAAAGGGAGGAGCACCACTAGGTGGCGGCAGCAGATAATACTACAAACCTTTACCAGCTGCAACCTTCACTTTGGGGTCGGCATCGTCCTCATGGTTGCTGTGTCCATCATCATCCTCAGCATCAGAACCATCATCACAGCGGTGAATTACATGTTGCTGTCTGCTTCGAAGCATCTGTTCAGTCTACAGAAAGTAGTTACCAACGTGGACCCCAAACAATGAGCTTCATGCACATGCTAGCTTCCCGGTGCAGGCTACATGCTGCACGCTACGTGGAGCAATACATGTGGTGCAAGCTATTCACTGCCAGCTTTTCGGTGCAGCCTATGTGGTGTACACTATGTGGTGCAAGACATGTGGTGCAAGCAGTGCGGTACAAGCTACGCGGCGTAAACTGTGTGGTGCAAACTGCGCGGCGCAATACAAGTTGTGTGTACGGTGTGGTACAAGTTGTGTGTAGTAAACTGTGCGGTCCAGAGCCGAACCCCGAACATGTGTGAGGCGAAGCCCGAAAGCCATGTGTTATGCCGAGCCCGAGAACGGGATATACCAAAACCGAACACCGACCCCGAACCCCGGAAATATCCGCATCGCTCTTTGGGCGTTTCAACCGAGAACGTCGCTGTCTAGAGGCCGTCGTCACGCGAAACCTCAGGAATACCCCTACCCGACAAGCCAGAGGAGAAGGATGGGGATGATGTGAAACAGGGGGGGATGAGGATGCACATTCACGTGGCAACACAAGGGGGGAGGAAACAACTAACCAGTCTTTTGACTTTAGAGGCCTCCTAAATGGGGTCGGAGTAGATGGGGTCGGAGGATCGCGCCGCATCGCCGATACATCGGCGATGCATCGGCGATGCATTGGTGATACACCCGCGATGCATCGTCGACATCGGCGATGCATCGGCGACGTCGACGTGAAGCAAATCGGGCTCAACATCGAGCCGCATCGGCGATGCATCGGCGGTGCGGAGCAATCCTCCGACCCCATCTACTCCGACCCCATCTAGGAGGCCTAGAGACTTGCCCGTCGCGTGGACACGCTTGGAGGGCGAGCAGCACACAATCTTACGATGTTCGCCACCGTGCAGCGCAGAGTGAAGAGGCCCTGGGACACACAAATACATAGACACAAATAAAAGGATCCCCCGTATGTTCCCATATGCTCTGGGTTTTTGTTTATCTTCCCCCCCACTTCCCATATTTTCGCATATTTTCTGGGGAATCGACGATTCACTGTGTCAGTGTGTTTTTTCCCCTCCTGATTGGAGGGCGAGCAGCGCACAATCGTACGATGCTCACCACCGTGCAGCGCAGAGGGCAGGCAGCAGCAACGCCTGGCGAGCCCGGGCTCGCCGCGCGGCGGGCGGCCGGGCGCCGCGCTCGGGAAGGCCTCCCTTCTCCCTCCGCCTCTGTCGGGAGCCACCGAAGGGGACGGGGCCCCGAGGGGGGCAACGAGCTCGATCCGCGGGTGCACCGAGGAAGGGGCCCTGGGACACACACATGAGTACACACAAAGAAAGGATTCCCCATATATCTCAATATATTTCCTGGGTTTCTCTCTTCCCCCCCCACTGCCCATATTTTCGTATATTTTCTAGGGAGTCGACGATTAATTGTGTCTGTGTGTTTGTTCCCTCCTGAACCGAACTGTCGCAAACAGATGCCCCACCGCATGACCCGCCTATAGTATCCGGAGCTTCAGGCGGCTGGGGGCATCTGTTTCGGGCGGCTCGGTGCAACAACTGGTGGAACTCACACACACACACACACACACACACACACACACACACACACACACACACACACACACACACACACACACACACACTGGGGCACACCCCTCTTTGTGGGATCGTCCTTCTCCTCGTCCTCCTCCTCCTCTTCCTCCTCCTCCTCCTCCTCTCCTGCATATTTTCCTCCTTATCCTCCTCCTCCTCCTCCTCCTCGTCCTCCTCCTCCTCCTCCTCCTCCTCCTCCTCCGCCGCCTCCTCCGCCTCCTACGCCTCTTCCTCCTCCTCCTCCTCCTCCTCCTCCTCCTCCTCCGCCTCCGCCTCCTCCTCCTCCTCCTCCTCCTCCTCCTCCTCCTCCTCCTCCTCCTCCTCCTCCTCCTCCTCCTCCTCCTCCTCCTCCTCCTCCTCCTCCTCCTCCTCCTCCTCCTCCTCCTCCGCAGCTGCTGCTGCTCCCGTCCGGGAGACCGGCCCCTCGCGCAGGGGCCAGCGGCGGCGCGCGGCGCACATCATGGGCTCGAACTTGAGCGACCTCGCGGAGGGTCACAACAGAGCAAACGCCTGCCCCCGCACCCGCCCCCCCTTTGTGGGCCCCCCAGAGACGGCAAGGCCGTTTTTTAACCGTTTCCAAAAAAATGTCCCTTGAAAATGGAAACGGCAAAATAACGGCGACCGGAAACGGCAAAAAAACGGCTCCAGGATTGGAACCGGAGCCGGAACCGGTCAAACAACGGCGACGGAACCGGTGAACAAACGGCGTCGGAACCGGCAAAAAAAGGCAAAACGGAACCGACAAAAAAAACGGCCCTGTCGTTTACAGGGCCCACTAAGGCCCCCCCCCTCCGACGACGAAGCCGGGACGAGGACAAATTCGTGCGAGGATGGATCGAGAGTCTCTGAGACCCGGCGGCTCTGGAGGATCTCTCAGGCGCCGTGGCCCTCTCCGAGCGTTTCGGAACGCTCTACGAGCCTCCGAGATCATCCCAGAACGCTCTGGAACGGGGACTGTCCTTGTCCTAGCCCTGCCCGACCCCCCCCCACACCAACAAAAAACTTCGTCGGTGGTAAACGTAATGATCTGCAGTGGGAGCCGCACATGCACACACTGGGGTGATATATACACCAAGGCGTGCCTGAACTGGTGCAAAACAGAAGGTACACACACGCTGTCGAACGCCTCACGCTCGCGAATCGAGTCCGAAGAACATCCACTTCACTGTGACGGGGTACATATGTTTGCGAACATAGCTCCATGGTCATGGTCACACTGTGGGTGGGAGGAGGAGGAGGAGGAGGAGGAGGAGGAGGACGAGCATACTTCTCCAACTCCGCGGCCTCTCGGTCTGGACTTCTGGCCCGCAGCTCCATGCTCATAGAGGGCGGCGTGGCGCGCACGGCCCGCGCGGAACGTGTCCCTGGGATCGCGTGCCCATGGGATCTTGACAGCTCGAAGGGGCCCTGGTACACACAAGCAACTAGACACCAATAGCAGGAATCCCCGTACTTTCTCATATTTTTCGGGGGTTCTGTCTTCTCCACTTCCCATCTTTTCCTGGGAATCGACGATGAATTGTGTCTGTGTTTTTTGTTCCCCTCCTGGCAGGAGCCGAACCAGCGTAGGTGGGAACCCGCCACACGCCGGCCCGCGGGCGTCACCATCAGCACCACTGGGCGGGCATCGGCCGCCCCTGCTTCACCAGTCCGTGCCGAGGCGGCGTGGAGCCTGCCGAGGAGCGGGCGGACGGCATGCTCCGCGCCGAGCCTGCTGCCGCTCTGCGCCGAGGCCCCGCGAGGGCCACGGAAGGCACGGGGGCGGCCAGGAGGGCGGCCACGGGCGCCTGCTGGCCGGGCGAGATATCCAGGGAACCCGGCCAGCGCACGGGACGGCCACGAGACGACCGCGGGGCGACGACCCGGACACCAAGCCACCTGTTCCGAACAGCGATACGAGCTCCTTGGAAGAAGCAGTGCTTGGGAACGTCTTGCCATGAAGGCTCTGACAGTGTGACGGTGTGAGCCCACATGCGAGCCAGGGAGCTGCGTGGCTGACAGAACACATGCGGACGTGGTCCACCCCCCCCTACGAGAATACGTAGGGACCCGTCGGAGGAAGAGAGACCCAGAGAACAACCGTTGGCACCGTTGGCGCGCACTGGCATCTACTGGGGGGGGCGTATCCCATCACCAAGACCCTCTTCCCCCTGCCCCTCCCCCTCGTACTACTCCTCCCATCTTCTTCTTCCTCCTCTTGCTCCTCGCCCGCATCGCCCTTCTGCTCCTCGTCCTCCTCGCTGAGCACGTGCTGACCACTGACCACCTCCTCCTCCTCCTCCTCCGCCTCCTCCTCCTCCTCCTTCTACAGCTCTCTTGTTATCCTCCTCCTCCTCAACCTCGTCCTTCGTCGGCTCTCTTGTTGTCCTCCTCCTCGAAGTGGCGCGGCGGTGGTGGAGGCCGGCCGGGCGCGCAAAGGGCCTGTCGTCGGCGTCGGGAAACTGCACCTCCGAGCGCACCTCGGAGGGGAACGCCGAGGAGATGACGGGGACGAGCGGGAAATTGGGGGAACAAAAAATGGCATAAACATCCAAACTCGGAGGTCCGCGCGGACTTCTCGGATCGGCGCTGGACCCCCCTCACTGGCGCGCGGAGCGCGCCAGGGGCGGCGCCGGAGGCGCCGCCGGGGGGCCCCGGCGCCGATCCGAGAAATCCACGCGGACCTCCGAGTTTTTATGTTTATGCCACTTTCTGTTCCCCTAGAAGTGGAGACGGGTGCCAAGGGAGAGGAGCGATCTCGCCACTGCTCCCCTGTTCTCTTCCCGATCCCTGTCCCTCCACACTCTGTCGTCCTGCCGCTCTGGCTCCCTCGCGTGCTCTCCTTCACCTCCCGCCTGCTGTGATTAGGGGGAAAACAAACCTACCTCGCTTTTGACCACCCTCGCTTCCAAGAGACACCAAACGATGCCAAATTGCAGCCTGTACTGGTCAAGCCGCTTGACGAGGAGGCGCGTGTTATGGCTTGGTTTTGCCTGGAAGCGAAAGCGGGGTAGGTAATTCACGCTCCGAGTGATCAACGGCAGACATTGGAAACCCTGAGCCCTTCAGTTCAACTCCTGCCGGGCTCCCACGGAGCACCGAACCGATTGGCACAGTGTGGGATTCGTCATCAGTGCCAACATCCGACCTGCAGGAGTGTACTCACAGATTTGCGCAATTCTGTCGACAACCTCAAACACAACAAGATGCTCGCACGTGCTGCCTTCGGCCTTGGGAGCCCGCGGAGCTCGACGACTGGAAGCGCCCGCGCTGTCCCGAAGACGATCCCATGATTTATGTTGCTCCCATCGTCCTTCAAAACCACATCCCAGAAATAATTTCGAGCACCCGGAGAAGTGTTGAAAGAGTGTCGAAAGAAAATCGAAACAGTGCCGGACGAGTGTTTCTCGGGGCCCGAGACGTGAAAGCCCTCGAGTATGGGGGGCAATGTTCTGGTGCTCGACACTCTCTCTGGTGACCAGGGCTAAACTAGGTTGGGAACATCAGAATAGGGGGCCACATGCGAACCCTACCCCTACCCCCCACGATTTCGGAGGGGGAGGGTGGGATTCACTTTGCTCGGGAGCTCCCGAACGAAGTGAACCCCACCCTCCCCCTCAGAAATCGTGGGGAGTAGGGGTAGGGTTCGCATGTGGCCCCCTATCATAACCCATGATGCTTCCCTCAAGCACTCATCTCTGTCGGCGCCTGCGAGACCAGCACCCCCCCCAGCTCGGGCGTTGGCAGAACTGGGTTTAATGGAACCTGGTTTAGTGATTTGCACCGGGGGCGCCCCCCCGTCCCACTTTCTGCTAACCGGAACTGCCGTCGCCCGGAAAACACCAGTATTACGGCAAACCTGGTTTAGTGAACCTGGCCAATGGAGGGGCCCCAGGGCCCTACCACTAACCGGGTCCCCTTGCCTGGGGTCCTGGCCATACCCGACACGGACCTCCCCCAGGTGATAAAAAGCTATGCCACTGGGCAGATGGACGCCCCTCGCGCGACGCTCCAGAGTCTGCGCGCGCTTCCCATCATCCGACCAGTAGCCGATCACGGTCCGATCACGCACGTGCTCCTCCTCCTCCTCCTCCTCCTCCTCCTCCTCCTCCTCCTCCTCCTCCTCCTCCTCCTCCTCCTCCTACCACTGACCGGGTCCCCTTGCCAAGGGTCCCCGCCTCCACCGCGCCCGGAGATCCGGACGCCGCCGCCAGCGGCTCCCACTCCGAGCCCGGCCCCTCGCGCACGGCCTGCTCCCACTAAAGGCTGGGCTGGCTTGACGCTGCGGCTCCGCGAGAGGTCGCGGAAATGGTTGTCGTTGTTGTTGTTGGCTTGCTGTTGGTCTTCTTGTTGTTATGATGGTTGTCGTTAATGTTGTTGTTGTTGTTGGTGGTGGTGGTGGTGTTGGTGGTGGTGTTGGTGTTGGTGTTGGTGTTGGTGTTGTTGGTGTTAATGTTGTTGTTGGTGCTGGTGTTGGTGTTGTTGATGTTGCTGTTGTTGTGGTTGTTGTTGTTGTGATGCTTGTTGTTGCTGCTGCTGATGCTGTCGTTGTTGTCGTTGTTGTTGTTGTTGTTGTCATTGCTGATATTGATGCTGTTGTTGCTGTTGTTGATGATGTTATTGTTGTTCTTGTTAGTGGTATGATGGTTGTTGTTAATGTTGTTGGTGTTGTTGTTGTTGTTGTTGTGATGCTTGTTGTTGCTGCTGCTGGTGCTGGCGTTGTTGTCGTTGCGGTTGTTGTTGTTACTGCTGATGTTGATGCTGTTTTTGCTGCTGTTGATGTTGATGCTGATGTTGTTGTTGTTGTTGTTGTTGTTGTTGATGTTGTTGTTGCTGTTGCTCCCTTTCCGCGCCGAGGCTGCGTCACCTCGTGTCCTGCGCACGCCCCGCGGCACCGGGCGGCAGCCCCCTCGACCGCTGGGCGCTGCGCCCCCCGCCACGCCACGGAGGCGCACTGCCCCAACTTGAACAGGCCCCAGGACACACAAATGAATACACACCAACGAGAATGTTCCTCATATGTTCCCATATGTTTGGTGCTTTTCGTCTTCCCCCCCACTTCCCATAGTTTCCCATCTTTCCTGGGGAATCCACGATGAATTGTGTTCGTATGTTTTTTTCCCTCCTGACAATTGGCCCCACCAGATCAAAAACCTTCTGGGTCAAATCTTGGTTGACGGCACCTCGCGCGCTTCCGCGCACGCCTCGCGGGAGCAGAGCGGCTGAGGGATGGGGGGGGAGAGCGTCTGAAACGGTACACCATTACGGTTGAATTCGGCAACGCCTCCTCCAGCTTACGCACATTGGTGCCCTCTGGATTGACATGCTGCTGGGCTGCGCCATCCCCTCGGCCGCGCCGGTCTGGCGGGGCGTGCGCCGAGGCTCGGGGGCTGGTGCGTCCGTCGCGGGGGGCTCACCTCCGGCCCTCCCCCTGGGCCACAGCATCTGGCGTGGCGGGTGCGCAACAGGTCTAGAAGCAAACGTTTCTCCTGCATGGCCCTGGGCCAACTGGGGTAGCGACTTCGGGGTAGAAAACTTGAAGCTGGTCAACTGCGGTTACGGTGTAATGTAAGCTGGACTATAGCTATGATATGTAGATATGTCATAAAACTACCCAGCTATATGTTAACGCGTGTGGCTGCATTGTTTACAATTACAAAGGCGACTGCTCAGGTTCGCTCGGCCACGTAACTGTCATAGCTGCAAACTGTAAGTTGCAGACAAATGAACTTATCGAAATTACAGGTATATTGGGAGAGACATAAATTTGGAAGATTCAAATCGTTGTTGGGCCCCCTTGACCACGATCGCAATACATATATATATATATATATGTATATATGCATACAGAAAGCGTTATCGCCCATCATCCCCGCCCCCCCATCATCCTCGCTTTCCGCGTTCCGCCTTCCACTGCCCCTGTGCCCCGACCCCCAATTGTTTTTGCTGATGATGAGGTTCTCGCTGGCAGACAGAAGGAGGGGGGGGATCGGGGAGGATGAGCGAATCAATCGCTTCTCGTGGCGAAGGGTTGATGAGCGATTCGATCGCTGCTCGCGGCGACTAGTTGATGAGCGGTTCGACCGCTGTTTTTGGCAAGTGTCGTTCCGTTCAGTGCAAGGCGACACAAGCGAGCCCCGACCAAGAGTGGCACCTCTTGATCGATGCACCGCTCCACCAGACAAAGAGCAAACCTTTCTTCCGCAAAGCAGACGCGTTCGGCGTCCGAATCTCCACCACGACGCATTCGTACCCAAAAATGAACAAATCATCACCGCGCTGGCCCAGAGCTGCGACGAATGAATATTCGTCTTGTGTGTGCACCACGTCGCCTGCCCAAGCGAGCAAGCCATTAAACGCAGCGCTGGAGGATAAGACGGCGTCACCGCCGACCGCTTCAGCGAGCAGAGGTGACATTTCAACGTCGCCGCCCCTGCGCCCAGGACGCTCGTCGGAAACTTTGAGGTCTTGCACGCGCGCCAGCAGCGCGGGGGAAATTGCAGCTTTCCCGAAGCCTTGCAATATATCTTGGTTATCCAGGATAACTTTGGGCAGAAGGTTCGCCCTCTCAACGGCAAAGCAATCCAACTCAGCATTGAATTTCTCGGCGCCGCGATCAATTGCATTTTCGAAAGCTGAAACATCGACGTCGCCTGCTTTAAGCTCTTTGCATGGTGTCAATCGCTGCGAAGCGCTGACAGAAGGACGTGGCCTCGCCACGCAGATCGTCGAAATTCGGAGAGATGACAGAGCAAGCAAAATGCCGCACCAGCGGATGCCCGCACTACAATTCCGAAGCGCTGCTTCGCCAATGCTTTTTGGATGTGTTCTCCCTGGCCTTGCAGAAAACAAACTGCGCCCCCCTAGACTTGCGTCGGCGTTGCTGTGGAAAACGCCGGCCTGCCTGGCAATAACGCTCCAGCGCCGGGTAGATGATGCCCTTCAGCGCACTAGCTGCATTGCAGGCCGACATGAAACAGAACGCTTCCTGGGGCGCAATCCAATTGCGCAGGTATGCGCGCATCCAATCAAAACGGAACGATGAAACGGGGCCGACATGCGTTCGGATGCTTTCGTCCGCATGCAACCCATCGGGCGGTAAGTTAATGCCGCGTGACTTCTCGTGGCGCGCGAACGAGGCTTGCGATAATGCCCCGTGTAACTGCGTCGGCGCATCGTGGGCTGCCCATGCGGCCTCGTCAGAAATGCGGATGAACTTGCTGCGGTCTCTGCGTGATATCTCCGCCAGCCGATCGGGCATGCCGCCAGCAATCCCTGAGTTTGTCTTGAGCGAATTGGCGCATTTGAAACAAGGCCTGATACCTGCTGATCCTATCATGCTGAGGCCCCTGGACAGCGCGACTTCGCCTCCGAGGTGCACGGCGAACTTTGCGAAGAACAAGGTCGGCCCGCTTGATGGCGGCAAGGCCGCGCCAGCCGCTCGAGCGTTCCCGCGAGGCCGCCGCGCCCCCCCCCCCCC